GTTTCAATCTTACCTGTTTTAAATACGCATTGTTCGTGTGTATGTGAATAAAGCAACAGGTTTGAAGATGTCATAAATCATGAAACATACAGAACACATCTTTCTATCCCAAACTGTACATTTAAATCTAAAACAAACTTACATTTTTGTGTTACTGATGCAATGACAACACCTTTAGTTAAAAGTGGTGTCCAATAACAAAGAAGTAGCCACATGTTCAAAGACAAATTAAAATGTGCATTACAGCTGTATTATTGTGTTCAACAGCCAGAGAGGGAATTCGTAGGACTGTGGCTTGAGGAAATGTTGCCAAAACACAACGATGAGGCCACGCAACCTCCTCCACAACTTAGCTCTAGGTGTGTCTGCTGCAGGGATGGCATTCAGTAACCAGGAAAAACCTGTTTCCATGTAAGGCACACATACACACAAGCTGCACACATACAGTACACACACTCCACCTGACACATGCTCCCTAGCTGATCAACCCGGTTTTTAAAAAAGGTGCTGTACCTAATGGTTATGTTTTTAAGTGTCATTACATCTCTCTGGGTGTCACTCAGACAAGTCAAATTCAACAGCTCTGGGTCAGTGCTTTCTAATTACTTTCACTCCAGCCCATAAAGAGGGACTGTCAGGGTGAAGACACAGAAGGAGAGCTCAGAGAGTCAGTGACAGAGTGAGGTGACTTTTGTCTGATTGTGGGAGAGATGATAGAAAGGGGCAGAATAATGCCAAAACATATTATGTTAAAAAGGCTAATGAAAGAAATACCAACAAACATCACCTTGAAGACAGCTTTTCTCATTTGTTTCTCATCTAAAGCGTGAAAAGTGTGAAGAGATAACCATAACTAATACTACTTAAAACACACATTTCATTTTTGTAACTTATTAAATTGAATATTTTTTAGACATATATGTAGATATATACTTTTTTATATATATTTTACAGCTACTAAGTCATAAAGGCATCACTGTCGCTGTATATTTGGATTACGCTGGCTGTATTAATTAATGTCATTATAAATCTTGTCATAATATCTCATCCAGTGTTAGTATCACCCACCATCCTCTGCCTGCAGTCCAACAGTCGCAGTCTTCTCTGTCGTATTCCCCCGAGATCAAGTATTTGTGCGAACCTCGGTGAAGTTCACACTGTTTCAAAAACTCTAGTTGGTAAAACTAAAGCCAGAGGACCAAGCCAAGCCAAGTTTACAGAAGGTATTCCCGATAAACTCCTGAAAGCATCAATGCAGCCCCTCAGCGGTGTCCTCCGTCCATTGTGCAGACAGATCTGAGTCCTACTCTGACAGCGGAGGAGCAGTGTTCAAACAGCGGGCTGGACGGTAATGTACGGAGCGAGCAGTGCCCTCAAAAGTCGGCTCTAAAACATAATACAGGAAACTGAGCCGGAAGGTCCAATCAAAGAGCGCGGAATATACTTAAATATTCATTAGTTACCAGGAGTGGAAACAACTGGGCATGCGCAGCTTTGGGACTTCCTAACAACACTGAACACAATACAAACTGGATGAAAATATTTCAGTGTCAGTCCTCTTTTCACTTAGGCTACTGTCTGTGCTATCCTACATCCTAAAGTGCATTCATGTAGGTTACACTGTAAAAACTATTTTGTTTTTGCTGTTTTTAGGCTGCTTGCCTTTCTCTCTTGTCTGTGCAACCATCCATTAGACTTCTATACCACATGTGCCAAAAATTGCACATTTCTCTTTATGTGCCATGCAGAAGTTTATAGAAGTAATTTGTTGTTTTATTATAATTTTACACTTATTGAGTAATTGTATGTGCAATGTTTGAACACTAATTTTTAAAGTGATTTTTGTTTGTATTTTGCCTTTTGTCTTTTGGGTGTGGTTTTCATATAAGCCATTACAGGATTCTACCACACCCTCACACATAGGCTAGTTTTATATTTTACTATTTTGTATTTATGTATGTGAAACTAACAAATAAATAAATAATAAAAATGTAACTTAAATTTAGCCTATTTCAAGTTAAGCAGCGACCAACAGGAGTCATATATGCAATATATATTTGATACAAGTTTGTGAAAGAACAATATTAGAAGGCATTTTCCTTAAACATGCTGCTCCTGAAATAAACATGTGAACTTTATACACAGATGGGGATGACTCAGTGTCTCACTATCACTGGCATTTATCAAGTTCATGTCCTCCGATTTACAGCAGTGTTTATCTTCTATCTGACAAAATTTCTTTAAAATAAAAAAGGTAGACCCCAAATTCTGTACAGTAATTCAGTCCTACTCCCTCCTCAGACAGATAAAAATGCAACTCAAAGGCCTTTAGAAAATCTCTTTTGAAGTGCATGGGTGGCACTGGTGGTAGCCTATCCATTTCTCACAACCAGTCTCCAGCCAGACTGAAGGCTCGCCTTAAAATGATCTTGGGCGGTGAGGCGACTCTCTGGGTGTAACCTGTCTAACAGGCTGCCTCTGTATGCACTGTGTGTGTGTGTGTGTGTGTGTGTGTGTGTGTGTGTGTGTGTGTGTGTGTGTGTGTGTGTGTGTGTGTGTGTGTGTGTTGTAGTCATATTTAAATCATCTTACAGTTTACACTACAGCTTACACTGATAATCATTAAAAACAAAAAATGTGAATTGCTCAGCACAACATATTGAGGACTCACTTGTACTCACTTACCGTCCAGTATCATCTTGACTTAAAGAAAACAGTGTTCCCACTTGTACTGACAGAAGGTTGCAGATGCTGCAAGTAACACTAGCAAAGTAATAGGCTGTTATATTGTGTAAATCATAGATAAATATGATTGATAGAGCTTTGGCGATGCCGTGAGTGCAGGGTTTTGTCATCACCTAGTGGACATTGTGGGAAAACGCGTTTTGAAGACTTGGAAATATTGTTGACTTAGATCTGTTAGCACAGCAGGGCATTTATCAAGAGCATCATGACAAATGTATATGGGTGTTCAACAGAGTCATTGCAGACACCCTCCTACTTTTCATAAATCATGCTTATTATCAACATGCTGGCATTCTTTTTGAACATTGTCCCTATATCTACTTTTGGGCATAAATATAGGCTAATGTATATGAGGTTGGATTTCTATACATCTACCAAACATAAAATTAAATTTACTTGTACAGTAATGCCTTTTGGAGGCAAACCTTTTTCTGTTAAAACTGATTTTGAAATTTCCATTTTAGTGCATCAGATCAGAATATAGGCAGAATTTTGACTTAAATATAAATGATTTCATTATTAATTTAATATCTATCTCAAGAAATCTTTTTGCCATTGATATTTGAGTAGCTTTAATACAATCATTACTTAGAATGATCTGGCATGCCATCAGCCATAGGTTAGTCTGTTGTTCTTGTGCAATACTAACCTCATTTCATTTCAAAACTGTCCTTCCATTCCCTTTAAGTCCACCAAGCACCCTCCTCTGCCCATCACCTGTCCCTGCCTGCACACCTGTTCCTAATTGCACTCCAGTTTAAAAGCCAGAAACTTTCTCCTGTGCCAAATCACCTGAATGCCTTCAAGTTGCTGGCTGTAAGCCTGCTTTTAAACATGAGTAAAAGGTCCTTACTGTGTTACTTTTCTTTGATGCTAAACTCAACACCATGGGGGAAAATTGTATGCAGGAAAGTTGGTATCTTAATCTCACTTTGCTGTGGCAAATGTAAAGTATTATACATATATACGTATACGTATATATATATATATATATATATATATATATATATATATATATATATCATGAGTTGTAATACAATTTACAATTTTACATGAAAGGTGAGGATGAACTTGTTTCTGATAGAATAAAAGACATCTCTTGTCAATTAGTTTTTCATACAAGAAGAATGGGGGACACATTCATGGTTGAAACTGTATTGCCAATATGTTTCAATAAACATGATGATGAATTTGTCACAGGTGAAAATAGTTAATTAGAAGTCTTGAATATTTTGATGTTCAAAATGATTAAGACTTTTTCTCATTTATGATCATCAGTCTATACTTGATGAATCACAGGATCAGATAAAAATAACTGAAATGATAAAAATTCTGTACAAGGTAATGAGAAACTCAAAGATTTATGAGCAAATAAAATACTAATTAAATATTTCACAGTGTTTTCAGACTAATGATTGTCATTCAAGGATGGTACCAAATCAATTTAGAAAACTCATTTCTCTGATCATTATAAACTTCAAAAATCTCTTGAGACCCCTATTTTATGACTTGATGTGGATAGTTGTGTTTTTTTTAATTACAAGAATAATACAGATTTCAATAGTCTGCATACCTAAATCCTATAAGTATACAGCCCACAGGCCGCAGTTATTAACCAGTAGTGACATCTAGTGCATAGAAACTAGTAAGGTAAATGTATTTCTGTTGGGCCCTGCAATGAACTGGGGACCTGTCCAGGGTGTACCCCGCCTTTCGGTTGGGTTTATATTTGGATAGGTTAATAATCAGATTAGATAAGTGATTGACTTTTATTTGGCCTCTCTTTGCTTTTGCTCAGTTGAAGCATAATTGGTTCATTGGTGTAACGTTTCATGTACACTTGTACCTATGTGTATGTTTCTGTGGATTGTGTTTGACTCGTATCAAATTGTAGTTTTATCTGGATAATATCAAATAAAAAACATAATGATAGAGTTAGTTTTGTTGTTGTCACAGGAGGTTGTAGCGTATATTTAGGGAAATAAAGGTACTGGGAAAAAAAAGTTTTAAAAAAAGGCTCTGGTTCTGTAAACGCCTCATGGGAGTTGTAGTCCATGGGTGGTGTACTTGACCAACGTTAACAAAATAATCGGTGGTTATATATTTAAAATGACATGGTTATCAATATATATAAATATCTATTTGACGTAGAATATAGGCAGAGTATCCCAGTGCCCTGTTTCAGCCTTACAGAAAGTTCGCCTAAAGAAAGAAATATAGCCAAACAGCGGAGCCCGGAAGTAGGGCGGGACCTCGGCTCTTTATAAACATGGCCGTTAAGTCCTTTATAGCATCAGGTACTGCGTTTGGCTGAATTTGTTAGACTTTCAGGAAGTCGCTGAGGGTAACGAAGACAGTAACAGGTGGAAAGAAGATGTAGACACACAACGGGCGCCTCTAAGTTATTTCCATCGTTTTATCTCTGCACGTGGACGGCGTTTATAAACTTCATGTAAGTTAGTACTTTGCGCTAGCTAGCTAGCCAAGCTAACGCCGACGCCTCAACGTTACGTTAACTTCTGTCAACTTTTTCAACCAGCTAGCGTAACAGGCTACTTGAATGCTTCTGGAAATGGAGGAGTGTCGTCGCTTGCCCAGGCTGTCTCGATGAATATTTTACACACGGACGTCTCGGATTGACTCTGCTCGGGGCTGACCTAAACTTTCTTAGAGGCTCCATTTGGGTTGTTTTTTTTCGACTGGCAGCAGCCCATTTAGGAACATCACCGAGAGGGCGGACATAAACAATGTTTTCTGTCAAACCCATGAAACCAACCTTCAGGTGTTACCTTCCTCCTGTTCAGGTTTGTATTTGCTTGTGTCTGATAACGGCAGAGTATGCATGTCACGATGAATGGTCACGATATAGTGTTAAATATTTAGTTGAATTCATTTAGGCTAAAGTTGTCGTGAGGCACTGCGGAAGGAAAGTTGATACACTGACGTGTGGTCAAGATTATAGGAAGAGAGATAAAAAGATGCAGTCTGTAAAATGTCCCACTGACTTCACGCAGTATTTAGAGGGGGTTTTATGTAACCACATTGCTCTTTGCGTCTTCAGAGTTAATGTCAATAGAAATGTCACTGGCTATAAGAAAAGTAAGAAGTTCTCCCGTGTCTTATTTGAAACCTTTACTGAAACCTGAAGAATTGAAACAATGGTGAACTGGATACCATTTTGAAATTAATAATATTTACCCAACTTTAATTTGAGTGTGTTTGTGTCGCATTGGCCTTGTTTTGCCTACCGGTGTATGCACTTCTCCAGACAGCGAGTCAAAGGGTTTTCTTTTGTAGACACTGGTGCAACAACCCAAACAAAACCAGTGTTTGTACGGGAAAGGTAAAGAAGACTAGAGTTGTTTGTATTTAGATGCTATTGGCTTTTTATTTTTTATTTTAAATCATTCTAGTTTTAAAATCATCATATTGTCAGGATCAGGCTCTGGCGTTGGTAATCAATAAAATTGTAAACTGTTAATAAAAGCTTATATTTGTGTGCAGGTAAATGCTTCCAAGCGTGGATTATGTGCACAACAGACAATGCAGTGATTGATCATTCATCAGAGACTATCAGTGATGCAGATTCCTACATATCTACCTCAAACACACTCTTAAAGCTGAAAGTCAGCCCTTTAACCTCCTAATGATTGATTCACTTGAATGTGTTGGAGTTGCGCCATCAATGGAAAAACACTCCACTGTCCAAATACTTATGGGCTGTCACTCTGCCAGTTCAGTAATACAGTATTAATAGCATTAGGTGACTGCTGTGTATCATTGCTTTCTTGTAGTTTTGTAAACCGCTTGCACCCATCATCATTTTCTGTATGTCCTAACTGTTTATGCAACATTATTTCACCCAAACATCATTACAGCTGTCAGGATGTGTAACAAGGTCATATGTTGGCCATGGTTATATTTTTTGGCATGTTTTTCACACTGAAAAACAATTTTACATTTCATGCTTTGTTTACAACCCAAGGACACATTTTGACTGGTCATTTTCCAGCCCCTCCACCCTCTAACAACACATTATTGCCATTATTTATTAAGAATCTGATGAGCTAGTGTTTAACTAACTCTTATGTGGCTTATGCTTTCTCTCCAGACTGATGTGAAGAAAACTATTGAACCACCCATTAAAAAGTTGGAGCCTAAGTTACTTCAGGGTAAGTCCATTTTCTGCATTATTGTAAGAATACTTGACATCAAAAAAAAGTTTTACCTGAACAAGACGGATCAAAAGCAGATCAGACATTCTTGCTGTACCAACATTTTATGTAGATATTATGTTAATAACCAGAAAGACTGTATTTAACTTTACACATTGTGCAAAGTGGGAACACATCTGAGTAAGCAGCAGACTTGTACTTTGGCATTTGTCATTAACTAAATAACTTGTGAAAGCAGTGTCTTTCAAAAGTTATTTTGTTAACATATCTCCATTTTGTTTTCAGTGATTCAAATGAATAATGTGTCAAAGCAATTTGGGCTGGTTGTCAGGCTCTCTTGTCTTGTTACTCATAGAGAATTGGGTTTGAGAATTGTTACTTCCTTTTGTCCGGTTTGCAACACTGAGTCAATGTTGCATTTCCTCAGACTACTGCACGCTCTTGCAGTCTCTACTTTTGGCCATGATGCCTGGGCGAAGCTCATTTTGTGGACTTGGATAATAAATCATCCTATTTTTGTTTCACATAGTGAAGCTGTGTTTAATCAAACTGGTCTAACAAGCATTTCAGCTCAGGCAAACATTCCTAATCTAATACAAGGAGTTCCAAATCTTAGGTGGGTGCTGATACATTGTTGTGAACATCCTTTATTGCTTTTTAATCTTTTCTTATTTACCAGTCTTTGTTTTTAAATGGGTAAAAAAGTAGGAACATCCTCAACATATTTCTTGATACTTATGTCTGACAGCAACACTTTCAATAACCTGTTTAACACAGCAATGTTTTAGGCATTTGTAATCTGCAATTGTTTCTCAAACATCAGTATATTTGTTAATCAGCGCCACCCTAATTTGAACTATTGGAGTGTGGGTGATGTAACATGCTTTTGTTCAGTTGTTTTCTTAGCTGTTTTCTCATGAGTTCAGCCTCTCATGAGGATTTAGATACATCACCCTGTCAGCGAAGTCTGAAAGAGCAGCAGTTTACTGTTCTTCGCAGCTCTGGTCCTCACAGTCACCTTGGTGTCTCCACTTCTCAGTCATTGGAAGTAACCGGAAGGAAGCGACTGCTTAAAAACTCTACCAATATGGCACCTACGTTATTGAGTCTATTTACTTGATGAGGGAGCCTTGTGGGAGTGACTTGATACACCCTTTGCATAGTGTTATGATGTTTGTTATATGGAGCAAATGTACAGTGATTTCCTAAACGTAAGATCCCTCTTATGACATAACTAACTTGTAGTTTGTCAGTTTTACATCTTTTTACAGTTTCTTTTAGTGCCAACATTTAGTGAGGTGTATTTTATTCAGTCAAGGCTGACATGAGCATTTAAACTGACTACCAGATAAGTGGATTTTGGAGCCAGACAGACAAACAGGTTTCATGAGCAGCTTTCTTAATTTAACTAACTGCTGCATGCTGCTCTGAGGCAGTCCTTTGATGTGACTGTCTGTAGGATGTTTTAAAAATCCCTGGAGAAATCTTTTGTAGTTGCATTCTTGTCTACTCATTAATCGTTTTGTGATCACGTTAAGAGGAGAGGGTCATGTTACTCATAAAAGATAGTATATGAAAAGTTGCCTCGTTAGCCTTAAGTAAAATCTATAATGTGACTTGAGGGGGTTACGGTCCCACTTGTCATTGCAGAAACTGTCCAACAGAAACCTTTGAGGAAAGTAGCTTCAGCTTATTAAATTCAGTTAACATTTAGCTATGTTTTCCAACACAGCATTTCAAAACCATGATAATTTTACAGAAAGGCATTTGAAATGAGAAATGTATAAGTGGTTGTGTACCTATTGCTATATAAAGAAAATTGTTATACTGTGTCTGCTCTACTTTTGGAGAATCACAAAATGTATCACTGAAATGTTATCATTGGCTTACTATGCTTTATTTTACACTGAGCAATTAGGTTCAAAAGTTATGTACATTTTTCTGTTGGCCTTAAAGGTGGGTTGAAACATTCTGGAGAAATCCAGTGCCATGACAAATACTATGATGTAGAGCGAACAATGTTACTTGTTACGGCTGCGCTGCAGTTGCCGGAGCTAATCGCGACCATTATAGTCGATGCTTGTGAGTCCACCAGACGTGGCGCGTCTCAGAAGCAGCTCTTCGCTCTACAGAGAATAGGTAGCAGGTCTCTTTTTGCTGCTAGCTGCGTCAAGCAGCACAGAGCAGATCGAACCAGGTAGGAGGTCAGACACAGAACGGCATAGAGAATCCGGTCAATTTTCAAAATAAAATGCCTCGTGGAGACTCCCGATTGTAAAACAACAATAAAAATGGTTAAAACAGACACAAAAAGAAATCATTAAACTACGTAGCATACTTATTCATAGTAGAAGCACAAAATGCAAACACTGGTTACCAAATCAACAAAATCTAAACTTTGTTGGCAAAATCAGGCAGGCAAAATTAAATCTGAAATGCTCCTTGTGGGAAATGCAGCCTTAACTTGATGGAACAAAGAGGGGTCACAGGGAGCTGTGAAGAAGGTAGTAGAAGCACAAAAATGACAAATTAATAACAAGTCAATAATGTGCGGCAGGCTGCACACTCTGAACACGCTGAGACGCTTCCAGTGGACTTTGACGCCGGGCTATGGACACATCAAAACCGTAGCGGAGCTGTAACGTGCCATAGCCGGAGTCAGTGGATTCCTGGCGTAACTCTCCTACTACTATAGCTAGCATCATTTACATTTATTCATTTAGCTGACGCTTTTATCCAAAGCAACTTAAAATTGCTATACATGTCAGAGGTCGCACACCTCTAGAGCAACTAGGGGTTAAGTGTCTTGCTCAGGGACACAATGGTAGATGGGTCACAGTGGGGAATTGAATCTGGGTCTCTCACACCAAAGGCATGTGTCTTATCCATTGCGCCACCACCACAATACCATGTCTTTATGAACTGGAAAGTAAGGTCAATGTACCTTAACATTACCTGACATGCATATCACTTGGCTGGAATAGTGTTGTGTGGGTTGGTCTGGGCAGCTTTGTTTGACTCCCATTTACAGAGCCAGGGCTCTGTATAAACACGGGACTTTTTTTTTTTTTTTTTTTCTTTCTTAGTGCTCAGACAGAATGGACAGCTAGCGGAACATGTGGAGATCTTTGCGTGTATTGGATTAGAATCGTTTACCCCACCTTTTAAACATAGAAACCTTTGACAAGCTTCCTAAATAAGTTGGAGAATGTTACTTTCATTTACTTTTGGTGCTCACTAAAAGGAAACGGGAACGTCGGTAAAACAAAACAGTACAGGTTCATCAGGAAGAGTTAAATCTCTATTAGACTAGTGGAGAACGTGATTTGTTTATGGTTCCTGGTAACGGGATTCCACTAAATTCTTTGCAGAAAGCAAACCCTGGTATGTTCAGAAAGTGAAAGTCCTGTTCTTTACTTTGCCTTTTGTAATCTTCCCTTGCTGTTCTTCCTTGAACTGTAGTGGAAGACTGAAGGTTTTACACTCACATGTTCTCTCACTTGTTTGTCACCAGGGGAAATAGTAGTTAATGAGGTGAACTTTGTGAGGAAATGCATCAGCGCTGAAAGCAGCCAGGATGACCTTTGGGGAAAGTTGATTTGCACAAACTTTAAGGTCTCCTTCATCCCTCAAGATGCCCCACCTAAACAGGTATTTGTGTGTTGACTCACTTTTAACAGTCAAACTGCACAGTTGGTTTGATGCTCTATCGTCATAATACAATAGGTGTCAAACTGTTTTTTTAACTTCCTCATACAGTTTTTAAAAATGTTTATTTTCAGTTTTATCAGGCTTGAAACAAAGAATGCCCTCCCATGATTTTAGATTTGTAAGATCTATTAGTGCCACTAGCATACTGCTGAATAGCTGAAATACTGGTATTTCCACAGCCATGTTTGTATGTGCAGTGCATCTGGCAAGGAGGAAGGAAAACTTTTGTACTTTCCTGCACTACATTGTCAGTGATAAGGCAGGCGAAGTGAGAGAGCTGTGTGGAAGCTTGTTGCCATAATAACAAAAATGGAGCTTGATCCTTGCTCAGTTTGAGCTGATCAACTCTATCTACCCAGCAGTATTTGATACAATATTTCAGTGAGTTGTGGGTGTAATATAATGTCATCAGGATGTCAAACATACTTTTTATGTTGTTTCCCTTTACTACAGAAGTCTAAGTTGTCCCACCTCCTTCTCGAAGAGCATGATATCCCTCTCACATGTTTGGAGCAAGTAGTAACAGGTACATCTGATGCCAACATTTGTAATTTACATAAACACATTTGTGGCAGTCCTTTTTGTTTTTTGTAAGACTGTATTCTGCAGGTTTGCTATTGTCATGGCAGACTTTCACCTACTGACTTCCATGTGCAGAAATCTTAATTTCCTAATATTAAATAAAAGAAAAGCAAGCTAATGGTGACTAAACAAAAATTCTCTTGAATAATTGCTCATACAAATGTGTCTGCAAAAACAGAGGATCCTAACCCATTTTTACAAGAATGATCCATGATCAGAATTAATGTTAGATGGGCCCCAAATAAATCTTTTGACAGCTTGGGCGACTGGTCTCGTTTGTTGTTCTTTCCTGGTCAGCAATCTGATAACAAGTGATGTCACAACTAAACCAGTGATTAGTGGCAGTGCAGCCTGGTGGGATTATCCTTGTTTATACATCTCATTGCTGTCGATTGCTGACACGGCAAGGGCAACTGCCCAGAGCGAGGTTTGTTGTGTTACAGTGATGAAGCATGAGACTTTGTTCTACCCAGCTTGCTTTTGACGTGTTTGACGGTCCTAGTGCTTGGTAATATGAATGAAATCAAATTTCAGTATGTTTTGATTCTACTGATAAGTGCTATTTTGGCCATGACTGCTTGTGCTTTCAAACAATATATAATCTGACAAGATTGGGTGGTTTGGTCTCAATACCCCAGCAACAGTCAAAATCCCAAATGATATTTAGCTATATATTGATGATCATAAATCATAATTTACACCAAGAATTAAAATACGATCTGTAATGGCATATATTTAGGTCAAGGTCATGGGTTACTGCATAAATGTAGCACTGCAATGTTGGCAGATATGTGTTCAGTGTTATGTTGTTGACATGTGCACCTGTTTTGTCCAAAGCAGATGTTTTTAAAGTTCTCAGCATTGGCAATAGTGGATTGGCATCAGTGGAAGTTTTCTAGTCATATTTTCTGTCTGTTCCTCTCAGTAAATGATACAAAGGGGAAGAAGAAAGTATTGGGGTCAAACCAAAAGCTGAAGTTCAACCCCACAGAGCTGATCCTCTACTGCAAAGACTTGCGCATCTTAAGGTTCTGCTTTGATGAAGCTGGGCCTGAGAGTGCCAAAAAGGTGAGTGATACTGAATTTTCCCAGTTTGTTTTGTACCAAATCCTTTAATTTGATAGTGGTCTTTTTAGAGAGGCTTTTAAAAATATCAGATTAATGATTTTCAGATAGTTGCCAACTTTATGTCCAGGTGGGTCATGAGCTAGTAAAATAGACTTTAGACTTAGACTAAATAGAATAGACTTTTTTCGTTCTTTTTTGCTGTTAAAGAACATTAAAGTCTAATTATTCTCACATTTGTTCCCTCAGTGGTAATGTGCTACTACACCACTGAGAACAACACAGATGCCACCAGAGTTTTACCACAATTGGGTCAATTGTGTGCAAAAGGAAAACTTGCCATCACAATTTCAAAGAATCCCATACAGATTGTACACATAGTGGCTTTAACTTGTCTTTTAATGCCATATAGCCAAATGACTAATGGCTGTGTATTAACCATTCCCTTTTTTCTCTGTATCCCTTGCCCATTTCACTGTCAGCTGTTGCTGACCAAACTTTTCCTTTCCTGACTGCGTGATCTCACTACATACACACACACACACACACTCATTTTCAGTGTGATGACCCCTTCCTCCACAACAAGAATATTTATATCATACAAAACTTGATGTGCTACTGTCTCACCCCCCAGCTGAATAGAAATTCTCTTATAAGCTTCTAAAGCATTTTCAGTTTGGCCGTTAGCCAAACAATGAATAAGACATTGAGAACAATGCCCATTCAAGGCAAAGGAAACTGAGAATTATCCTGATTGTTGGAACAAATGGCACCGTGACTCTGACTCATCTACACAGAGAGATTGGACGGACAGATGTTTCATTCTTCAAATTAGAGCTCATTTGAGGGAGATGCAAGTCAGTATGATTCTAGGAGTCATAGATTAAAACTAACAAGTCAAATACCTCAATGCTAGTATATATTGATAATGTGTGACATTACTACTAGTGTTTTCAGAAAATAGTAGCACATAAGGAAAATTAAGGAAGACCTTACAATGCAGAAGAGGCGGTGACTATTGCATTGCCTTTGTTACATTAGTAAGTTGTGTAGTGGGTTGAGCTGTTGTGGTAACTAGCAGTGGGCTTTGGCTGAATTTTTTTGTTCGTTTTGGAGAGTGTTGGTAGAAGGATAAAAAATAAAACCAGGAAGTTGTCACCTTGTGCAGAACCAGCCAGTCCCTGGGAACATGTGACTGCTTGATGGGTATTAACCAACTCAAAACACAGCCAACAGTAACAAAACAAACATTTCAGCACTCTCACGCTGTCTAAGCACAGATGTTGTGTGGTAAAAACATTGTGTGGTATCTGGAGCTGTACAAGTCCCGTGTATTTGTGCATTAGGTATTCAAGAGCTCCCCGCTGCCTCACTACATGACCCATGATAGTTAGGCAGCTTTGGATCTGTTTATAGTGTGGCAATGAAATGAATGTAAATGGACACTGTTACATGTCTGATCTCCTCCCGTGTCATCTGGGAGCAATTGTTGCGTAGGTTTTGGAGAACTCCACAGCACATACCTGCAACTCATTTGGCTAACAACGGCATTACATTTAAGTCTTAAGAGCAGTCTTAGAAAGATCCACAATGCAGTGCCTACAACAGAATATGTAAGGTTGATAATGTATAGAGTACTGAAATAGAAATAGTCTGCCCTTCCTCACTCCTTTTTTTTTTTTTTTTTTTTTAGATTTTTATTTATGGACCCCATGTATGTAATTACAGTGTGAACTTAAAGCGAGGCAGAGTTCTATTTTATTTTTTTTTCCCCCTTTTGTGACATATGGAATTAAGCCAGCCTATAATAGCTTATTTTGCCATAGGAAATTACAGAGTTGGAAGCAGACTTGTCTACACACACGCACACAAACTTTTTCTGTGTCCTCTAGTGTAATTCACAGCTTTACTGGTGAATGGACTGCTTTGTGTGACTCCAGTGGAGCCACAGAGATTCAGTCCTGTAAACCCAGAGCAGTTGGCTCTGGCTGTCAGTTAAACTTTTGCTTTCCCAGGTTTCACTTGTTCTTGTTTGTGCGGTTAAAGAAAAGACCTCAGGTCATTTTAGCAGTGAATGCTAAAGCTGGGAAGCTGAGTGGTTGTGATGAAACGTAATCTGCCTTGATAATGTTTAATGGATTCTTCCAGTCAGCTGTACCTCTATTGTATTGTACAGGATGTTCAATAAAGTACTTCTCTTTTTATTCTAGGTTTGCCTTGCTATTGCCCACTATTCCCATCCAGCTGATCTTCAACTGCTGTTTGGCTTTGAGTATCAAGGGCGGCGATATCATGAATCTAAAAGTACGCATATAGCTTGCCATATGTCTTTTTAAGGTTTCTAAAAAACACAACATGTCATATTATATATGTAACTATTATCTTGTCCTGTTAATCCACATTTAACAATTATGAATTTCAAATTTGACTATTCATGTTTAATTTCTCTCCATTATGTGTAAGAAATTATCTCAATGTGTCTGTATTTCCAGGGGAGCGAGTTAATGGTTCCACCCCTCGAGGACGATTACAGACCCCCATTTTTGACTGTCCGCCAGACTGGGATCGGGAGATCAAGAGGACAGGGGCATCAGAGTGGAGGGTGTGCTCCATCAACGAGAATTATGTCATCTCAACAAGGTTTCCAGCCCATGTTGGTTGTTGTAGGCAATTTATGAATGATTGGTGTCACAGGCAGAGCACGTCTGTAGCTCCTTCTGTTGCCTTAGTTTTTTTTTTTTTTTTAACTTAAGGAAAAAAAATTGTGAATGTCTCAGTGTAACATGCAAGTCTCTTTTGGACAATACATGCTATTAATCTGAGGTCAGTGGTGACATCATGGTGGGTTTCAAAGTAAGGATTGTACAATGTTATATGTGGAATTTGAGAAAAGACTCAAAATTGCATAATAGTAGCTTGCACCAAACTGTACACATCACATGTGGCTAAAACAAAACTTATAGTACACCCTGATTCAGTTTTCCTGCAATCAAAACAAAAACAATAACAAAAACCTCACTGCTGATTAAATACTTAGGACAGGCACACCAAAGAGATCCAGTGATAACAAGTTATTAACATCACCAAGGTTCATATATGGGTAAAATTGGAAGTTGTAGCAAACTTTAAGATACATCTACTTAGATATGTTTTTGTAGCTGTGTTGTTGGTTGTTTGTTTTTTGTTTTTTTTGTTTGTTTCTTTCTTTTCAATGTTTTTGATCCCTGTGTAACACCAGTCTTTCTCTAACTCATCATTTCAGTCTTCCAGAGCACATTGTGGTCCCAGTTTCTCTGGCAGATCAGGACCTAAAGCAGTATTCCATATACTTCTCTGATCAGCGTATCCCTGTGAGTACGTGTGCTCTGACATCTCCGTTAACTGTGTACTGTTTGTCAAACTTTGCTTAGGAATACCTCTTTCATTTATCTCTTTTAGTTATTTATTAATAGGCCTATAATGTTGTTTTTGTTGCACATTTAAGTGGAGTCATTTGTTTTCCTTATCCGCCAATTCCGAGTAGCGTCCAATTTGATTGATCAAAGCATCCTTTTTATTTGCCCACTGATCCATGTTTGATTTATGTGCATTCCTTCCTTTTAGCTCTGGTGTTGGAATCACCCAAATGGGAGTGCTCTTGTCCGCATGGCCATCATAATTGATCCAGTACAGCAGAGGAAGACTGATCAAAAGTAAAGCAAACTCCTCTACTTAATTTGGGTTTAAAACATATATTAAATGTGTTTGTTTCTGCTCTCGCTTTCACATTGAAATTCAGTAGTGGCAAACATGTTTACCTGCAGCAGTGGAATAAGAAAGTGTTGAGATTTGCCATAATTTTATATAATTATAAACCCATTTTTCTTCGTCCAAGTTTTTGGTAATTAAATTGTTTGACACTAATGTTCTGAATATACAAATGATGTATTGCTTAGATGTTGCTGTGGCTGTTATAAGTCATCCTTAATTCAATCATCTACGTCTGTCTTCCTGTGTTGTGGTAGGATCTTCACTGCCATCACAAAAAGCCACCCACACCGCAGTGAAGTCATCAGGTCAGATCTAGACAAGTGTCTGCCTAACATCCAGGACATCCAGAGTGCCTTTCTTAAAATGAGGCAGATCTGTGTCATAGGTGAGCCTCATTACAAGTAATTAGAAGTATTCAGCATCTGTGTGAAATATGTCTCAATGCACATTTCTTTCAGGGGTAAAGAGTTGCTGATAGCATGTGTATGGGTTTTATAGTTGTGCAAGTGTTTGACTGTTTTTGATTGTGTGCAGATCCTTTTGAGGAGACTGAGGAGAGGTGGCTTTCATCTATTGAAAACACACGATGGCTGGAGTACGTCAGGTATGTAAACATCCTGACACTGCATGATGGCTCTTTATAAACTACCAGTGTCGTGGTTTATAAAGAGCTAAAATTAAAGCGTCTTGCAGGCCTGATGGTTCCATCTGGAATATAACCCGAGCATGAACATTTTATTCATGTTTTACCTGTGAAAGTACATTGTATGTCCTTTAATATTACTAGATTTTCTTGTGCTAACTTAACACACATGAACCGACTTACTGGTTCAGACATCCTGCTTTGTCAGCCTTGGAATCTATGGTCTGGTGACGGACAGCGACTAGCTACCATCATCTGTTTGCCTAGTCAATAATAAGTCCGCAAGCACAAAAGGACTTAAAATTTAAGTTTCTATCTCGTCAGGACACTGGTATTTTTCCTCTTGATGCTGGTTACTATTTTTCAAAGTCAGTTAACAATTATCTTCTGTTTGTGACTCAAGAGCTTTCCTGAAACACTCCGCTGAGTTAGTGTACCACCTGGATGGAAAGAATGTTTCAGTTGTTCTCCAAGGTAAAACTCTCTCTTTAAGTTGCTTTTATTAATCATTAGTCCCAACAGTATTTTGAGGTATTTTCTATTAATTAAAAAAAAAAAAATCTGTATTCTTTACTTCACTGCATGGTGAACTTACCTATCATTTGTGATGTAGTACCAGCGCTTTGCTTCAGACACATGTTGCACACAAGCAGAAATACATGTAAATTATTGTGGACAAATTAGAATAATCTACAGTTAAATTATAGTCATCAGAGTGACCTTGGAATTGTTTCCCTTGCTAATATGTTGTTAAAGCTTTGGTTCCTATCTTTATTTTATTTTTTAACACCTATACAGAGGAAGAAGACCGAGACCTGAATTGTGTAGTGTCCTCCTTGGTGCAGCTCATGTTGGACCCTCATTATCGCAGCCTCATTGGCTTTCAGACTTTGGTGCAGAAGGAGTGGGTGATGGCTGGCCATCGCTTCTTGGACAGATGCAACCACTTAAAGAAGAATGACAAAGAGGAGGTATTTGTCTGACAGTAAATATTCCAGTCCCCGACCTTATAGATCTGCAAAGTCCCTTAATGCTCCTCGTTTGTTTCTCCAGCTCAAGTCCCCGTTGTTCACGCTGTTCCTGGACTGTGTGTGGCAGATGACGAACCAGTACCCAGCAGCATTCGAGTTCACCGAGACCTACCTGACAGTACTGAGTGATAGCATGTGGATCCCACTCTTTAGTACATTCCTCTTCAATTCTTCCAAACAGCGTGCTCAGCACTTGATGGTGAGGGGATATACATATGTATATTTATTTAGTTGAATTTGATAAATGTATGTTTTTGATAAGTAACAAAGGAAGTCCATGTGCATGAATAACCTTGTGTTTACTCGACAGGACTTTGCCAAGAATAAAGCCATCCCTCAAGGAGAAGACCAGGTTGTGTATTTCCCTCCTGTTTGGGACTGGTCACAGCAGTTCTCCACCAAAGACCAAACCCTCTTTAACAACCCTATGTACGTAGGCAAAGGAGCTGCCTTTGCTCAGAATGGGGAAGTGAAAACCTTCAGACGCACAAAGGTACATGAGACACTGTGCTTTACAAGTTTTATAGGAGAAGTAGCAGCACCATGTTTTATGTTTTTGCCCTGTTCTTTTACACCTTTACTAGTCATACGAGTTTACGGTCACCTATCTGTTTGGTTAGGGAAATTGTAATGTTTGGTTAGGGAAATTGTAAAGTCAGTCGATGTAGACTTATATGTATCTTATTTTTAGTGTGCAGGGGCTTGTTAAAGGCCTACACCCGAAACAGACCAAGTAGCACACTCATGTTTTCCCCGTTGGTATTAGGAACACATTATTACTTTTTATCCCAATTTTACACCCTTTTTTATTATTATTATTTACAGGAATTCAAGTAGGAAACAATATTTACTACTTTACAGTTTGTGTTTCAGTTGTTTTTTGTAGAGTAGGTATCACAGAGGTGATAATTCTCACCCCTGCCCCTGCTTTTCAACTTCAGATTAAGATCATGTGTAGGTATTTTCTAAATGTGTCATCACAATTGTCTGCCCTCTTAACAGTTTCCTCAGGCTGGGTAGGCAGGTATTACTATTTTCTGTATGTATTTTTGCTGAAATACACACTATTTCTGATGCAGTAAATGTTTAACATTATCAGTAATCCATGCAGTCAGCAGTTTGTTGTTGCTCAGATTTTACGGGCAGTGGGTTGTTTTCCAAGTCATCAGCAACTTCAGGAAAGGCACAGAAGGTAAATAATTACACAGAAAATCAGTCATTGGTTTTTCGTAAGTTGTAGGTTTCAGGATCATGAGAATCTTGATAAGGCAGGTGGAGATGCACTAACTGAGAATGTAGAGCAAGTGAGCTCTGGTTGTTCAGCCTGTCACAGAGGTACGCAAATGTGTAGTAAAAATGATTTAACGCTGCCTTTCCTCCAGCAGAAAACCTACAGTTCCACATTGCGAGGAATGTCTGCATCTATGCGTAATGGACTGAAGGATGGAGAGGATTCGTTGACCCGCCGGGGATCTCTGGTGTCGGAGCTGAAGCCTGACTTCTCACCAGTAAAAGACGAAAGCCCGTCAGAGCGCTTCTTCAGGGACTGGTTCTCTCGACCTGCTGACCAGCAGGGTGTCCTTATCCCCCTGCTCATGCCCTCACACATGGCTCTCTGGAAGCTCTTCTTTCTACGCTGGGTTCCTGAAGCCTGCATTCCCAAAGGAGGCCCCATCACCATTTACCACAAGCTCTCCCAACTGGTTGATGAAATTGAGATACTCCAGAGCCACGTCAGGCGGTATAAGGGACCCAGTCCAGGCAGCACGCCACTCCCTAGCCCAAGTGGGCCCCCTTCAGACCAAAGGAGGATGTATTTTAAGTCCAGTTCCCCACAAGACCCACTTACACCTCCAGACTTTCTTACCTCCTCCTTTCCTTTCACCCCAGTGGGAAACCTGTGCCGCCGCAGTATCCATGGGACTCCCATTAGCAAATTTCTGAATGGGGCGAGGATCTGGCTCTCAACAGAGACTCTTGATAATGATACTGTCTGAGGATGTGGGGCTTTAGGTTCACTTTTCTGGTTCTTAGTACAGGTTTGTGTGATAATTAATCATCTTATTTTCTCTTACCTCTTTCTTAAATACCGAGAAGGAAAATGAGAAATAGAAAAATGTAACTTTTGGACTATTTATAAGCTAGAATTTGCACCATTGATGCAGCATCGAAATCTGAGGTAGTTTCTAAACTGAAGTGTCATCTACAGGCCTGAATCATTATTGTCATTATCCTTGACGATTTCAATTTAACTGAAGCACATCCTCCCTATCGGCCTGTAAATTGTTACTGTGAGGTCTCCTGACTGTGAAAGATCACCATACCTATGCATTTTTGTAATGGATGTCTTGTCTACTTCAGCTTCGGTCATTCTCAAGATGTAGATATGCTAAGTAGCGTACTGTATGGTCCACACAAAAGGGTGCTTTTGGAGATTTTAATATTGAGTTTCGGATGAGGTTGAGAGCTCATTCTCCAAGATTTACCAATGATGCACTGCACATTTAAAGCAATAATTGAAGTATGTGTGTTTGTAGCAACGCAATCTATTTAGTTGTCCTGGCGTTGAATTGTCAGTAAGACTTCCCCACTGTAATGGAATTGAAAAATTTAAACAAAAAAGTAATGGTTGAAATTAGAAAAGGCCCGTTTCTATTGCAGCAGCAATGATGCATTTGACTGATTACTGATTTCCGAGTACTCAGTGTGTTGTACCTTCAAGGAAATCTAATTAAAGATGTAATATTTTACTTCGTTTTTATTTCAGAAAGAGGAACAGAAAATAACACTGCTAACACGAATGATAGTATGTGGTAAAAACAAAGAGGATCTGGTTGAATGTAATGGGGCGTTTTCATTTTTTTCTGGGGGTTTTTTTGTTGCTTTTTTTTGCACAAACTTTAAAGTGTAAAACTGTAAGTAGCAAATTTCAGGGTCTTACTTTGTGGATGTACTCTATTTTTGAAACAGAGGAAATAACATTTTAGTATCATAAAGCAGGCGAAACTTATAGAGGGAAGTGTACCTGTGAGGACTTCAATCTGTGGTAGATATTTCCTCTTCTCTTTTGAAGGGAGGCCGTCTGGTAAAGGCACTGGTGAGATAATATTCAGAGGAACAGTACCTGAATGGGTAAATATTTGAAAGCAAAGGGACAGACAAGGGCTTTGACTCAGTCTCTAGTTTAGTAAGTAGTGAATTGGATTCCAGGAAGTGAAGTTACTGATCCAATGAACTGGACAGTGATGAGTCGTTGACAAGTGAGTTTCAAGGCAGCACATGAGAAAACACCAGCAATAAATAATCTGGATTGCGAGTGTCATGAATACACCATGTGGGTAATTTTGACATTTCAAAATAAAATGTCAATTAAGGTCAGTTGTCAACTAGAACTACAGTTCACACAAGAAAAGCCTGATATTTGCACAGCGGGAAAAGGATTGAAAGACATTAACTGTATACACTGTTGAACATTCTGTATGTTGCTAGAACAATACTTAAATTTGTAATAACATTTGTTCATGCCGTTTTTTTGTTTTTTTTTCTCCAGATAATGCTACTCTGCGTAGAGGAATAACAGGAGAAAACAAGCAGTGAAGTTACTGTACTTACAGTCAGGATAGTGGTAGTGAGGTTAGAAAGATGTTTATGATTTTCTAGTGAGGTAAACTTCCAGTGTGCTGTAAAGATTTTGAGAAGTTCACTACATGCTGAACAAGGGAATAGTTTGAGACACATCGTGGGAAATGGATCAGCTATCCATCACCCCTTTTGAACCTGGTGAGAGTAGCTAGCTAGCACTGTGTAATATCATAATGTCTAAATAACAATACAGCATTAATATAAAAGCCATTTGTAATTTTAAATACAAGACCACTGGACAGACTCAATACCTGTCCTAGTACACAGGAGCATTGATCCGTAGATGCTAGATCGACCAGTTTCCAATGATATTAAAATCAACTCGTTATTCTTTGGCAATAACTAGTTCAGGTATTTTTTGGTATAGATGTGTATAGTGTGAGTGCAGAACCGGCTCTCCCAAATGCTAATAATTGCACATTTTACTCAATATATATATATTCGATAGTTTGTTTTAAGCTGGTTGTTTAAATATAAATTTTGCAAATATTATAAATGCTATTATAAATAATGTATATGCTTGAAATCTTCCTATTAATATTTTTGATTAATGGTACTAAATAATCCTTGACTTAGTCTTTATATTTTCTGGAGAGAGATTTAAGTGCTGTTTGTGTTTTGACTAATTCACAATGTTGCACTCTGCTGTAATTGCATGATGACCGTGTTTCCACTGTGGCACAGTTTGACATTGATCAGCAGCAGATGTATTTATTCAGTTATGCAAATGTTCTCTAAGAGGGATGCAGCTTCTACTGTACATCCCCGGTGCCTTTTTGGGAAGATTTACCTTATTTGTAACTGTATTCTAAATCTGAGTTATTTTAGTTTTCTAAAACTGTTGATTTATCAATTCTGTAAATCTAGTTAAATTCAGTGGTACTGCACTGAAGCTTTTTTTCCTAACAGAAAAATAAGGCTCAAATGTGTACCAGTAACCAATCATTACATTATTTTTTAAGATTAATTTGTGTTCTGGCTTTTATTTCAATGGGTTCATGGAAACAAATCAATCCCTGGACAAGAACATGATATTAGGTCATCCTAATGAAAGTTTTGATGGTGTTTCAATTACTTAATTGAAGGCTCTGATGTAACCAGTAAACTTCGTTTGGGACGGTGACACGCATTTAGACAGATGTGAATACCCTTTCACATTTGTTTTATCTTTTGTTTTAATGCTGCCTGAAACCTAAAGATTTTTTTTTCACAGCCCTATACTTATTTACATATTTATATCATCCCGATTGAATGTCTACATCTTCCAGGCCAGCTAAACATTTATTGGTTTGATATTAAAACCTTTAATTTCTGAAGACACTCCCTGGTGTTGACTGAGCCATGGATTGGGACACACCTCCACAGTCTCGCTACTGCCCCAAACTTTAAAGGGATATCGATGTGAAGATTTGTACATGTATAAACATGTAAAGTATAAATTAAATATCGCAATTTAGAAAAAATGCTCTACACTTTTTTTTATTTATTTTTTTTATATTTGTGCAGCGTTGCTCTAACATGGATGTTCATGTTTAACATACTCTAAACAAACCACATATTAGCTCTTAATACCTTTTAACGTGACTTACAGTGCCATGCAGAGTTTTATTGATCATACCCAGCCACAGGGTCAACCGCACTTCCTTGCTGGGATAAGCGCTGTCTTCCTTAGACTGACAACTGCTGTGTTTGAAGTCTGAAAAGTGGGACACCCTGCTACACATGTTTAAGACCTTAAAGTGGCTTCAGTATTTATTTATTTTTTTAATTTATGGTGGCTATAATAGTACATCTATTTTTGAGATGCACAGTATTTAGCCTAATGTGGGAAATTTGAATTAACTTACAAATATGTCCAGATACGTGGGTTTTAAAATGAACACGGATGTTACAGTTCTTGTTCTTTATTTATTCAGTAAGTGGTGTACATAAGTAGCTCTACTGCTTCAAGAGTTACAGATGTGAATCATATATGTTTATATGTTTAAAGGCTTAGGCTAAAGGTTTTCTTGAAAATTAGTTGTATTTTTTTCCCATACTCTGGGCCGGAAGTCTCTGCTTCCAGTTTTATTTCTAACTATATAATGAAGATTTTTACAGAGGGGTTTGTTCATATATCATTCATAGCCGGATCGTGAAAGGGAGCTCACGGGAAAAACACGGGGAGGCGGGCTCTGTTTCTATATAAACGAAGGTTGGTGCACAGATGTCACAGTGTTGAAGAAATCATGCAGCCCTCACCTAGAGACATTTATAAACTGTAAACCGTTTTATTCACCACGGGAGTTTTGCTCGATTGTTCTCGTTGCGTTTACATTCCACCTCAGGCTTTTGTTAGTGAGGCGTTACTACACCTAGCCGACCAGATAACTAACGTGGAGAAAAAACATCCAGACTCCCTGCTCATTGTTTTTGGGGACTTTAACAAAGCCAACCTCAGTCATGAACTTCCAAAGTACAAGCATATTAAGTGTCCCACCAGTGACACTAACACACTGGACCACTGCTACACTACATTAAAGGACGCCTATCGCTCTGTTCCCCATGCAGCCTTGGGACTCTCTGATCACTGTCTGGTTCATCTTATCCTGACACACAGGCAAAAACTGAAATCTGCTTAAACCTGTTGTAAAGTCTGAAAAGATGGACCAATGAGTCAAAGCTGGAGTTACAGGCCTGCTTTGACTGCACTGACTGGAGTGTTTTTGAGGCTGCAGCCACTGACCTGGATGAACTAACTGACACTGTGACATCTTACATCAGTTTTTGTGAGGACGTGTGTGCTGACTAAAACCTTCCGCGCATACAACAACCAAAAACCCTGGTTCACAGCGAAACTCAGGCAGCTTCGTCAGACCAAGGAGGAGGCCTTCAGAAGTGGGGACAGAGTCTTGTACATTTACATTTACTCATTTGGCAGACGCTTTTATCCAAAGCGACTTACATTTGAGGAACAACATACAAGCATCAACAGAGCATCAAATACAGATCTACAACTGACAATACATACTAGTAAGAGCTCATGGTACATATAACAATCAATGAGGTAAATACCTAGGGAAGGAAGTAAGAGTTAACAAAAGTGCCATCAATACAAGATCATTGTAGGGGATAGAAGAAGAGCACAGGATGTGCATGTTAGAGGTTAGGAGTTAGAAGTGTTATAAGAGGAAGTGTTCTCGGAAGAGATGAGTTTTCAAGAGCTTCTTGAAGTTAGAGAGGGACGCCCCTGCTCTGATGGCATGTGGTAGCTTGTTCCACCATCGTGGTGTCACAGATGAGCATAGCCGGGACTGGGATTGCTTTGTGTGAAGGGATGGCAGAGCCAGACGGCATTCGTTGGAGGAGCGTAGCGGCCGAGAAGGAACGTATTATGGGGTTTAGGTAGATGGGTGCAGACCCAGTAGTCACTCTGTATGCAAGCATTAGTGACTTGAATTTGATTCTGGAGGCCACGGGGAGCCAATGGAGGTCACTGAGTAATGGAGTGACATGAGTCTTTTTGGGCTGATCAAAAACCAGACGTGCTGCTGCGTTCTGAACCATTTGTAAGGGTTTCACTGCACAAGCTGGAAGACCTGCTAGGAGGGCATTGCAATAGTCTAGGCGAGATAACCATGGCCTGTACCAGAAGCTGGGTGGTGTACTGAGTGAGGCAGGGCCTCATTTTCCTTATGTTGTATAGAGCAAAGCGGCATGACCGAGAGACCGCAGCAACATGGTCTGAAAAGGACAGCTGGTCATCAATCATGACACCCAAGTTTCTCACCACCTTGGTTGGAGTGATGGTTGAGGAGTCAATTTGTAGTGTGAATTTATGGTGGATAGATTGCTTGGCTGGAATGACCAGGAGTTCAGTCTTAGAGAGGTTTAGTTGAAGGTGGCAAGCCTTCATCCATGCAGATATGTCCGAGAGACAGTCCGTGATCCGCGCCGAGATGGTGGGATCGCCTGGCGGGAAGGATAGGTAGAGTTGCGTATCGTCTGCATAGCAGTGGTAAGAGAAGCCTTGCGAGCGAATGATCAGCCCCAGTGAGGTGGTGTAAATTGAGAAGAGAAGGGGCCCTAGCACTGAGCCTTGGGGCACCCCTGTGGAGAGGCAGTGGGAGGAGGATAATTGTCCTTGCCACAAAACATTGTAGGAACGCCCGAGAGGTAGGATTCGAACCACAGGAGTGCTTTACTCGAGATGCCCATTGCTGAGAGAGCGGATAGAAGGATCCTGTGGTTGACTGTGTGAAAGGCAGCTGATAGGTCAAGCAGGATAAGAACCGAGGATTGGGCTGCAGCTTTAGCTGGCCTTAGGGCTTCTGTTACAGACAGAAGAGCCGTTTCAGTAGAGTGGGCACTCTTAAAACCAGACTGATATGGATCTAGGAGGTCATTCCGTGAGAGGAATTCTGATACCTGTTTGAATACTGCCCGTTCAATAGTTTTGGATAAAAATGGTAGAAGAGACACTGGTCGATAGTTCTCAACTTGAGTTGGGTCAAGTGAGGGCTTTTTGGGCAACGGTGTAACCCGGGCCCTTTTGAAAGTGGTCGGGAAGGTTCCTGAAGCCAGAGAAGTATTTATCACATGAGTGATTGTTGGGACCACGGTGGAGATATGGCTTGGAGGAGATTCGTAGGAATCGGGTCCAGTGGGCATGTAGTTGGACGGCTATGGGTCAAGAGTTCTGATACTTCGCTCTCTGTGAGAGGAGTAAACAAGGAGAGTGAAGAACCACTGACCTGGGAGGGCAAAGGAAAAGATGTAGTAGGACTGCTACAATGCTTGAGTTTGAATGTTTCAGAGAATTGGCTAGTTATAGCCACCACTTTGCCTGTGAAGAAGGCAGCAAAGGTATCAGCAGACAAGTTTGTGGGTGGTGGAGGTGGAGGAGGATTTAGTAGCGCTTCAAAAGTGGAAAATAATTTCCTTGAGTCAGTGGCACTGCTAGTTCTGTTATTATAGAAGTTTATAAGTTGCAGTTTTGGCAGCACTGATGCTTGTTGAGAAGGAGGATAGGAGCAATTGGTAGCCCTTAAGGTCGGCGGGGTCTTTGGTTTTTCGCCATTTTCTTTCAGCTGCTCTGAGATCAGTACGGAGCCCACGGATGGTATCAGCCACAGGTGGGACTGGTTTGGGCAAGCAGGCTTGGTGGATAGAGGACACAGGCTATCCAGGCACGAGCTTAGTGTAGAGCACAGAGATTGTGTGGCATCATTGACCTCAAGTGAGGAAAATGTGTTGAGGGAGGGTAGAGCAGAAGCTACCATTGAGGCAAAGTGAGCGGGAGACAGGTTGCGGAGGTTGCGGCGGTGTGAGACCAATGGTGTCGGAAGAATGGGCTTTTCCTGTAGGCATACCGTGAACTGAATGAAATAGTGGTCAGACACATGTAGAGGTGTGACTGACACTCTGTGGCACAGTTTCGGACAAGAACGAGGTCAAGCACCTTGCCAACTTTGTACGGGCTTAGAACCCGTGTTAGATCAAACGACTGAATCAGAGACAGGAAGTCTGCTGAGTTTGAATTGTCTAAGTGAATGTTCATGTCACCGAGGACAAGTAGGGGACAGTCATGCTCTGGGATTGAAGACAGCAGTGTGTCTAGCTCCTCCACAAAGTTACCCATTTGTCCTGGTGGATGGTATATGACAATTACAGAGACCTTTACCGGAGCGGACACAAAGACAGCATGGTAATCGAAGGAGGCATATTGATTCGGGGGTAGCAGCTGTGTGAATTTCCATTTGTTGGAAATTAAGAACCCAGTTCCACCCCCCCTCCCAAACGGCTGTGGGGTGTGGGTGAAAGAGTAATTGGTGGACAGCGCAGCAGGGGTAGCAGAGTTTTCTGGTTTGATCCAGGTCTCAGTGAGCGCCAGTAGCCCAAGAGATAATGTGTTAGCATAAGCAGTCAGCTTTGTTGACTGCCGACTGGCAGTTCCATGACCCAACAGACAAGTAAACAGATGTGGGTGGTGCCTGTTTTAAAGGCTTGAGGAGTACCTGGTTTCTGTGCCTGATGGCATGATACCTGTACAACCAGGCCAGGAACTAAAGAGGTCAAAGCTGCAAAGAGGTGCTATGCTGAAAAGCTAAATAACAGCTTTGCAGCCAATGACCCTGCGTCAGTGCGGAGAAGCCTACGGACACTCACAAACTACAAGAGACCATCCCTCAACTCTGCTGGTACTCAACAACTGGCAGACGAGCTGAATGGTTTCTACTGTAGGTTTGAAAAGCCCAGAGTCACACCTCTCCCCCACTCCAAGGCCATCTTCAAACAGTCACCTTCCCCCTCTGATCTCTCACTTGCACTCAAGATCTGTGAAGAGGACGTGAGCCACCTCTTCCAAAGTCAGAAGATCAGAAAGGCTCCTGGCCCCGATGGTGTGTCTCCATCCTGCCTGAAAATCTGTGCGGACCAGCTGGCCCCTATCTTCACTCAGATCTTCAACAAATCACTGGAGCTGTTCCCTCCTGCTTCAAACGCTCCACAGTCATCCCGGTCCCAAAAAAACCCTCCATCTCTGGACTAAATGACTACAGGCCCGTTGCCCTGACATCTGTAGTCATGAAGTCCAATCGAAGACTGGTGTTGGCCCACCTGAAGGACATTACAGGCCCCCTGCTGGACCCCCTGCAGTTTGCCTACAGGGCTAAGAGGTCAGTGGATGATGCTGTCAGCTTGGGTCTGCATTACATCCTGCAAAACCTCGACTCTCCAGGGACATATGCAAGGATCCTGTTCGTGGACTTCAGCTCGGCGTTCGACACCATCATCCCGGACATCCTCAGCACCAAACTCACCCAGCTCACTGTGCCAGCCTCCACCTGTCAGTGGATCACAGACTTCTTGACTGACAGGAATCAGCAGGTGAGGCTGGGAAACATCACATCCAGCACCCAGACTATCAGCACTGGCGCCCCCCAGGGGTGTGTGCTCTCCCCACTGCTCTTCTCCCTCTACACCAATGACTGCACCTCAGGAGACCCATCTGTCAAACTCCTGAAGTTCGCCGACGACACAACGGTCATCGGCCTCATCCGGGACGGTGATGAGTCGGCCTACAGATGGGAGGTTGATCAGCTGGCTCTCTGGTGCGGTCAGAACAACCTGGAGCTTAACACGCTCAAAACTGTGGAGATGACCGTGGACTTCAGGAGGAGCCCCCCCACTCTGCCCCCCATCACCATACTCAACAGCCCTGTGTCTGCTGTGGAATCCTTCATGTTTCTGGGTTCCACTATATCCCAGGAACTGAAGTGGGAGCCCAACACTGACACCATCATCAAGAAGGCCCAGCAGAGGATGTACTTCGTCAGCTCAGGAAGCTAAACCCGCCTAAGGACCTGCTGATCCAGTTCTACACAGCCATCATCCAGTCTGTCCTCTGCACCTCCATCACTGTCTGGTTTGGATCTGCCACCAAAAAGGACAGGGACAGACTACAACGGACAGTCAGGACTGCAGAAAAAATCATCGGTGCCAACCTGCCCTCCATTCAGGTCACCCAGGACACAACTTGTTCCAGCTCCTCCCCTCTGGTAGGCGCTACAGAGCACTGTACATCAAAACCAACAGACACAGAAGCAGTATCTTCCCACAAGCCATCACTCTGATGAACAGCTGATTTCTGACTCACGGTGTCAGGAATAATTCCTGTGCAATAACCCAGTAACTCTGCCTCTAATCAGCGACCTGTTTACTGGTTTCCACTTATTAATTTATTCACCATTCTCTATTTCAGTGCTGTTCATACTATGTCATATTGTATATACTGTATACCAATACACCTACCTCAGGTCATAAGGTCTTATTTATTTTTTCCAGCATCCTTTGCACTATGTTCCATCACACCGTGTACATGTTTACATGTAAGCGTGTATGTGTACCTGTATATCATATCCACCTTCAACATGTACATAATGAGAATAATAGTTTACTCTTGCATCCTTTGCACTCTGATCACTGCACTATTTGTCAATATGTCTATATTGTTTTGTTCAAAGTCTGTATGTTAGTGTTGTCTATTCTGTTGATTGTGTCTGATTTTATTTTATTATTATTTTATTATAGTGTTATGGTATTTTTGTACGCGTAAGCACATCGTGAGCAATGTACAATCCTGAGTTGAATTCCTCGTATGTGTACACATACCTGGCAATAAAGCGGATTCTGATTCTGATAAAATTTTATGCCGTAATGAAAAAAATCCATAATTACCTCTGTAAAAACATTTAAGTGTAATATGTCAACAATTTTGAACCTGACTTAATCCAGTGTTGCAAACTAGGACAAATGTAATTAGATACTGCCTCATTTGCATATAAACAAAAAGGTACTGCCTTAATTTTAGTAATCAACTAGGAAAGTCTAGTCCATTCACCTGTATTGTCTCGCCTTAACCCAAGCTATGGTTTTGTGTGACAAAAGCAAATTCACAGAAAGCTGACGATGCAATATGAAACTGTCATATAATGAAATCCCTTTAGTGCACACATGCCTCCAACTTGTGTTATTTCATTTTCACCTTAATTTGTGCAAGACCTGCTCATTAAGTCACTTTACTATCTTTCCGCTGGAAAAGCACATGACCCGTTAAGATGGAATTGACAGAATTATATTTGTATTGTAGTTAAATGTAGGTAGGACAACACTTTACTAAAAAAGCAAAACGTGACTGTGGTTTCCTAAATTTACTCTTTAATGTCCGTGCATGAGAAAACAGGAAATTGAGTAAACTCAGTGACGTCATTCGTGAGCGCCTCTGCTGGCCTTCGAAATGGGCTCGATTTCTTAGCCTTGATTTCTTCAATTGTCCCTCTGCATATCAACTTTTTATGAAGAAGAGGCTGTTCGCGATGACATATGGAGGTACGTCTACACAACCAGACGTAGCAGAGCTATCTGTGATTATGCGCATTGCCATGTTAGTTGCAAATCAAGCTGGACTGGAGTCAGTTCATGTAGCTAGTTGTAGCTGTGCTAGCTATGTAGCTAACTAGCCGAAGCCTCTGGGCGAGTGCCCACTGCCCAGTCATAAATTGTAGTAATAATTTAATTACTTCATATAACATTAGCTACCGTTTGAACCATCTAAGTTTAGTATTAACGTTTGAGGTGTCATGCTGTCATTTCCCTGTGTTTACGGGAAAACGATGACTCCAAGTTGCTAGCTAACTTTAGCCAAGTCAGCTACTAGCTAACGGTAAACAGTTTCTCTGAAGTGAGCGGTAAGTTAAATGGAAGAAAACTTTGACTTGAAACTAAATGTATAAAGCAAATGGTTCCTATCAAGTGCTGTTGAGGGTTTGTTTCAGGAAGCAGGTTTACAAGTTTTCTTTATAACTGTGCTGAGTTAAACCAGGAACCCACCCCCGAGTCTGAATCATGGATTGTTGTTTAAAAAAAAAAAAGAGACTAATTTATGACAAGTTAACTTGCTTCGGTTGACGTTTGCTCTGCTGTATAAGATTAAGATTATGTTAGAATAGAATTGATTTAAGTAGAGCAAAACCGAGAGGAAATGGTGATCGTCTCAGTGGTCACGAATCATTTTGCTTGCTCATTGTAGGCTGCAGTAACACTAATTTCTTGGGTGTACTTTTTTAAATATTCAGATGTTGGGGTTTAAATGTTGTGTACTGACGTGCATGTACTTAACACACTCAGCAACATGAACATTTGAACCATCATTGTCAAATGTCAAACCACCACAAACTGGCAAAAGGCAGAACTGCCAGAAAGCAGAACAGTATGTGCAATAAAAGGACACATGCACTAACAAATCCATTACCTTCCTTTGAAAATCTTATATCTCGTGGAGGTGAGGTTCGTATTGAGCCAGTCTAAAGGTGTATTTTTGCTGCTACAAATAAATTCTGTAACATTCTCAGGCAATTTCTGTCTCTGCAGTGACAGATGAGTGTGGCAACACCATTCATGCATTCCATCTGTGGTTCAGCATTACCTAACAATCTGTCAGTGACCATAAATAATTCTTACATAGGCCTGTAACTAAAAATTGTATAGTTTTATAGTGTTCATTTAATTTGACTTAAATTAATAATTTTACCTCTGATGTGACGAGTCAGTGTGCAACTTGGGAAAAGATTGGAATTGTTTTTATAGCTCCTTTTGTTTTTTTACAGGTGAATTGGCAGACGAGGTCAGCCAGGTGATTTCAGAACTGGTTCCTGTACGGGCAGACTGGCTTGTAAGTTGCAGTTCCTGTGCAGTACAGTAAAGCTACTTGCTTGGTGAGAGGATTACAATGAAACCAGCTCAGGAGCGCAACCAGGAGTGCCTGCCTCCTAAGAAGAGGGACCTCCCAGTTAGTAACAGCAGCAGCGCTGGAGGAGGAGGAGGAGGAGGTGGTGGTGGTGGTGGTTTCGGCGGCGGCGGCAGCAGTGCTGGCTGTGGTATTGGAGAAGATGAAGTGGTTTCCATCCAGAACTCTGCAGCTAACAGTGACACTCAGGGAGGGACCCCATCTGGAGAGTGGCTACGACCTCAGCCAGGGCTTCATTATGGAATGGATAATTCGGATGGCATAGCAGCAGTGCCCGTTGACCAGTACAGTATGCTCTACAAAGTGGCACTTCCGTCTGTTACCTACTCGTCTACTAGTCTTCACCCAGTGTTAAGTCACATCTCTCCAGCCTACACTGTACACTCTTCTATCCTGCAGCATCCAGGCCTTTCCTATCCTCCTCTTGGTTATGCCCAGATCCCTCATTCCTCTCTCCAGTTTGTTGGTTCCCCTTATGCAGCAGTACCTTACGCTCTACCCCCTGGCTTTGTCCCGGGATCATTAATCTCTCCCTCAGGTACTATTCCTCAGCCCCACGCTGTGTCCCACCTTGTTCCCTATCCATCTGTCATACAGGAAGGTGTTGTTTCCCCGCCTCCCCAGGCACAGGTAGCTGCTCATACCTTTGCCAAAGTTGCAGCATCCAGCGGGGTCCCGCTGATGCTGTCTTCAGAGCAAGCTGCCCAGCAGCACCTTGGTACTGTAGGAGTCCTGTCTGCAACAGAGGTCGGCTCTCGGGGGATGCCAGTCTTCTACCACCCTCAGGGCGCCAGGGCTGTCACTGCCACCAGAGACCCCCACATTGTCCAGCACGAGAATGAACCAGAGGTGAATGGAGGCGATAAAGAGCAGGCAGCCAGGGAGGTTGTACTAGACTCGACCTACACTGCCAGAAATGCACGTGTGCTGCAGGTGGTATCCAGCTCTGCAGTGCACGAGCACAGCCAAGACAGAGGCCTGCAGAACCGAAGGCTGGAAGAGAGGAGCTCACCTGGCCAGCGCAGCACTCCAGACAGTGACCTGGAGGTAAGACACACTGATAGCCTCCTAATGTGATTGATGTTTTCCTGTTAATCTGAGTAATCCCAAATTTTAGCACTAAACTGTTGATAGAAACAACAACCCCTTTTACATGGTAAGAGATTAAGAATAATCTGAGTAATGCTGTTAAATACAGGGGGCAGGTAATAAAAGACTTCTTCTTCCGGCCCCTGTTCGATCATGGAGTGTGTATGATGTTATTACATATTGCAGTTTATATATGGTGTTAAAGCTGTGATGTATAAAAAGATAGATTGCTGATTCATTTATACCCTTAACTTACTTTCTTGAGTGTGCACTCAAGTGTGTGAATGAAAAAGCAAAGTGTCACCCAGTCACAAAGTAAAGACTGCATCATTTAACATTGCAAGCAGAAGCAGGACCAACATTTACGGTCAACATTTTTAAAACAATGCTCATGTTGATGAAGGGATAAAATATCTTTATAATATTTATATAGACAGAAATATAAAAAAAAATGAACTGCTATCACATACCTTTTGAAAGTTGTAGGTAGAGTTCCTTGCTTTACATGATTACTCACAGCAACCAGCTGTTGGTGTGCATGTAGATATAGTCATAGCATTCATAGGGATCTATACTGTACCTTTTTAGTTTAGTATGTTTATCTTCAGCTATTTTCATAGTTATGTCAGTAGCCTACATTGTTAAAATCTGAAATATGTTGTCTTAATAGCACACCTTCATACCTCAGTATTTGTAAGACTTAGTAAAGCATGTTAATTTTAGACTTTACTTCCTTCCTTAATTGTATGCTGTGGGTCTGTAGGTAATCGGACAATCACCCACAGCCAGAAAATTGCCACTTTGTGCAAAAGCAATGCTATTTGTGGTTGCATGGAGATTCTCAGAGAAGCCCTCAATGCTTCTTTTGTGATGGTGAAAGAAGTATGTTGATTCCTTAATAAGCAAAAAGGTTTCTGTCCTTTTGGTTTGTACGGGCCATCATCAGTGAGAGCTAATCACTTATTTGTAATCAACCAAATAGGGAAAATGATAACAGTGCTAAATAGAGGTATTTGCGAGTAGCTCCAGACAATCTTCCTATCTTAGAAAAATGTTTTAAAATGAGGAAACTCTGCATGACTGGCCTTTTTACAAAAATGCGCAATGCGCTCTAACAAGCAAACATGCTGTAACGGACTCCTATATGCTTTATGTTTCGCTGCCTAATCGGGAAGTCCCAAAAAAGATTCTGTAGTGTCTTCTTTTCCTGATTAACGTATAAATAAATATCTTTGTGCACATCCTGTTAGTGGCCTGTTGGACAAGAGTCAGTTTGTGAAAATGTGTCACATGAATTGTTCTGTGTTTGAGCACAATTTAAAGTTGTCTGACAAACACTTAATTCCTTTACTCAACTTCCAGGTGCAGCAGGTGGTTGGTCGTTTGGCTTCCTCTAGCCAAGGGGGCATTGGAGTGCGGAAGGAGGTCTCCTTTGCTCCCTTGAACCTCTCTCAGGGTGCCCAGAGAACTAGAGATGTCCATGCAGAGAGCACTGGTGTAATTCCTGGCCGGACCGCGTACACTGCCCAGTCTGTGAGTTACAGTGACCCCAGAGTGACCGGCCTCCAGCAGCAAACGGGACAACCAGGCCATGCTGTCATGCTTGCCAATGGACAACCAGTTCTTATTCCCCTGGAGTATCACCTGCAGCACCAGCCCCAACTACCACAGCAACACTACCCAGGACAGGCTAATGATGCCTCAGCCAGCCATGCCTCCACCACCATGGCCTCCCCTAACCTAAGCTTTAAAACCTCTGATTCTTCAGCCAGAGTGTGCCTCTCTGAAAGGGCAGAGCCAACCATAGTTCAGCAGCAGCCTCCTGTCCAACCTACAGCAGATGTGACTCAGGCCTTAGCTTCAAGCCTCGCTCCTGTCCCGGCTCCCTGCAACCCATCACACTTCATGAAGGGTGCCATCATCCAGCTGGCCACCGGGGAACTGAAGCGTGTGGAGGACCTGCAGACTCAGGACTTTGTGCGTAGCGCCGAAGTGAGTGGGGGGCTTAAGATAGACTCCAGCATGGTGGTGGACATCCGTGCCAGCCAGCAGAGACCAGGTCTCGTGTCGCTTCACTTTAATGTGGGGGAGCAGCAGAGCAAAGTGACCATTGACGTTCCCCCAGAGCACCCCTTTTTTGTGTTCGGCCAGGGCTGGTCGTCCTGCAGCCCTGAACGCACAGCTCAGCTGTACGGCTTGGCCTGCCATCATCTGCAAGTAGGAGACGTGTGTGTGTCCATCACCCTGCAGCAGCAGCTTCAGCCACAGCAACAGAAACAACCACAGCACCATCATTTGCAACAACAACAACCGCAGCAGCCGCAGAACCTGTCCAGGACTTTGAGCAAAAACAGTGCTACATCAGGACCTGGTCACCAGCTCATGGGGCCTCCCGCCCCTCAGCAGTCACGGCCTCAGTCTCATTTGAGGCTTGAGCGCATCCACAGAGAAAGACAGAGGGAAGATATGATCGATAAGGAGGAAGCCACACATTTTGGGGTTGTTGGGCACACTGAGTCGCCCATCAGAACAAGTCGGACCTCAGCAGAGAATCCAAGGAGCCAAAGCAGTTATCACTTGCACACAGAGGGCTCTGCTTTTGCAGGGGCAGGAATGGGAGCAATGCAGCCTGCGCTAGGTGCTTCTCAGAGGCGCTGGTCTTCACCTGGCCTCCAAAGATACAATATGAAGGGAGACGAAGGGCCACGCCCTCAAATAAGCACCTCCGGCCACACAAGGCCCTCTTTCATCCCCCAGGAGGTCAAACTGTCCATTGAGGGGCGCTCTAATGCAGGGAAGTAGCATCACCTTTGGTAGCAACCATAGAAGTGTCTGCCACGAGTAAAGATAGTCTGATAAGGAGAGAAAGGGGAAAGAAAAAGTGCGAATGTAGCCTCAGAATGTTTGAGATTTTGCACACCTAAAATATACAAAAATACAAGATCTTTGTCTATCTGGTGAGAAGTTCCGGCCTGGTTTGGTTGTCTCTAAACCAAAAGATACGAGCCTGTGGTTTCCCAGCCAGCTGAGGTCTGACAGGGACATGACAAGCTGAGTAGAAAGTATGTAGCTGATGAAATGCTTATCATGGTCCTTACACACTGCATTTCTTTTACTCCCTCCTTCCTTTGTCGCCACTTCCTCACACCCTAGCTTGGAGGTTTCCATCGTATCTTGCTTCCTTTTTGACCAAACTGTCTCTTTGGAAGACCACAAACTACGAAGACTGTGTTTGTAGCACAGTGGAATTACCAACCCTGCAGGTTCTGATGTATTTCAAAGATCACAGCCGGTGATCTCATATCGCCTGCATTCCTAAGATCCTGTTTCCTTCAAAAGTATTTTGATATCCCCCCTCCCTAAAAAAGAGTGGAGTTGCTGACATCAGCAGCTCCTGTGGCGATGCTGGCAATGTTAACGCTGTCAGTGTATGTTAACGTTATGCTTCTCCGGCAGAAGTCTAAAACCTCTTTTGTCAGCAGAGATACTCTCTCAGTCTGCAAGGATCCTCTCAGGCCAGGTGTGGCATGTCCCACTTGTCTTACAATCGAAATAGTGATAAATCAATCAGTCTGTCTGTTGCAGCAATCATTATGCCCTCTGGTTGAGGCTGAGGGTCCTTGTGTGTGTGTGTGTGTGTGTTTGTTTGTTGGTTTGTTTGTTTGAAAAAACGCCTCAGATTGGAAAAAACGCTTGTTCTTTATGATAACTTGAGATATTTTGCATTCCAGTATGATCAGTGGGAATATCCATCACCTAGTGTATAACCTTTTTCCCCTTTAGAGAATCCTTTCACATCCTGAGGGACACCCTCTCTCCCTCCTCGCTATACCTTAAAGCTTTCCCGAACAGACTGGTGACTTTTGATGCAATTTTAAAGAGCCCAATTAACGGGGGATGCACTGTATGGTCCTCACCAAAGCCACCTGTGGGAAAGAAGCAGAGAGACATTACCCCGTCACATCACAGGCCGAAAGGCCACTTTAGCCTGAAACCCCAGGAAGAGCGAGACTTGTGAGAGAAAACCTATGTGCGAGTGAGCAGGTGTTCCCTTTGTCCTCAACTTGAGTTACTCTTTGCTCAGTTACAAAATGAAAGCAATAGTTCTTTTTACAGCATGCCGCTGTACTACTCTCCCCTAGGATTCTCTCGGCGTGCGCTGTTTTATATCTCTATACTATCTGAAGCGTGAGATCTGACCCCCTTTTAACCCCAATGTTAATGGTTATGCACTATTACGCTGTTCATTTTTATTGATGCTTCAGTATTTCTACACAAGCGATGCATGCCTTTGACAAATTTCACAAGAAATCTTTGTAAATGAAAGTGCTTCTCTTTGATTTTCCATCTTCACTAATGATATTTTATCTTCATTCATCTGGATTCATTCAAGTGCATCTCCAAGAAAGGGTTGACTCAAAGTTGTGATCATTATCAAGTTATCTGTTCTGTCTTTTGTTTTAACCTACACGGCGGTCCTTCGCTTTTGTACTAGGATATACTCTATCCAGCGGATCTTATGATTGTCTCGTGTTGCACATAGAAAATGTCACTCATTTACTTCACACTGACCTTGTTAATAGGAATCACAGTACAATGTGTTTTTTTTAATGAAGGGAATATGTTATGTTAAATATTGTTGGTGATTTGTGGCGAGAGAGTAAGAAAAAAAAAAAAGAACTGACTTGCGTTTTTTAACTGTTTACAAATTAGCCAAGATGAATGCTGCAGTTTCCTCCTCCTGACAGATTTTTATCCTTGTCACTGAAATCCAAAAACCCAAAAGGGTGAAATTGAAATTAAGTGCAATTAGACCACATAACATCATTCAGAGGTTTATAATCAGACGGCATTCCTCACACAGACATTCCCATCACGAAGTGTAAATCACACAGCACCAGTTTTCTTTTTTTTTTTCTGTCATAGACATTTGGACTTTTAAATATCTCGCGGATTACCTGTTATATGTCCTCCCGCTCAGACAGGAGCATCACTCAGTTGCATGGTTGTCAATTTTGTGTCTGACTAATGTGTTTGTGCCGTGACCCAGACACCTTTACATGTGTCTGTCTGTATTCTTCGACTCTCTCACCCTGTGTCTGCAGGCAGAGGCGCCATGAGAGAAGTATCAGACAGAGTGACCTGAACTGGGGCTAGTAGACTCGCATCCTCTGGTACTGTCATTATGAGCTGCTTTAAAGGGCAGATTCACATTTTGTCCGTCTTATAACAGTTCCCACATGTCCATAAAGAGTTAATGGTCGCTGTAATCACTCCTCCTACCTGTACTGGCCGTATAAAGATTCCTTCCTAAGGCTATTCGAATGTAAGAGGTATGGGACAAAATCAACAGTTGTCCTTCTGTGCAATAATGCACTTCAAGCTAATATGAGACTTCAGCAGTCACAGTTACACAAATCAAGTGAGTATCTTCCAGTTAGTTATTGTAGTACACAAGTCAGTCTTTCTGTTACTATTCCTCTGCAGCAGCTCAGCAGAAGAGGCCGCTAAATGCACTAAACAGCTTTTTGCTCCATCACTCAAACTGCTATCACGTCAGGAAGGGATCTTTTTATGGGGGAACGGTTACAACAACTAACAACTCTTTCAGTTTAGTATTGTGAAAAAATGTGAACCTATCGTTTAAAACGCTTTGCAATGGGAGTTCAGCGTTCATAAAATGATTTTACTACTGTTAAAAACACATCACCGCTTTGAGTTTTTTTTTTCTTCATGCTGTAAGGCAATATACATAACTGAAAACATTTCATGTAGTCTTAGTGTATTCTATGCAGTAAACTCAGTATTGTACCCTTCATTGTCTTAAGTACAGCTCTGATGCAGAAGGGCAGGTTTGGCTGATGCAGTCATTTTACATTGATGTCTGGCTGTAGGATTTTTGCTTTAAATTACCTTTTTTACAGGAATACAAATCAGTATTTTGCTTTGCTATTGCAATTTTTTTCACTCAGTGGTCCCAAACTTCCTACGTTTTGCACGCTGCTGAATCACAGATCGGTAAACTTTTATTGTCTTCTTGCATGCCACACAGTCAGAGCCAAATCACTCAAGACGAGTGTCCCTCAACTTTTCACGTGTTTGTCCTGCATTCTTTTGGCACGATTGCCAAGCCACTTCAACAGTGTATTCTAGGTCAAGATGCATTTGATGGGATTTGAATGGCGCAAGCAGTGCCACTTGTGACTTTACCTCCTGTTAATTCTCACAGCAAGACCATCCTGTGCTACCATGACCTTTTTTGTTTTCGTCCTCTGCTCTGAACAGTGTGTGCCACATTGAGCAGGAAAGCTTAACTTCGACCAAGATATCCAATGAATCTTATTCACATCACTGAGTCTGTTGCTGTAAGTAATTGCACTAAATGCCCTCCTTTACAGTGTTGTAAAATTAAACTGTTGGTAAATTGAAGAGTTTCAAGATGTAAAGCACACAAGAATCATGGCGTAATAGCAGGTTGTGTGTTTCTGTAGATAGTTTTTATTTTGTTGTATAGATTGTTTTGGTGATGCTTGTCATTAATGCCTTATATTCTGCTTTGTACAACAATGTGTGAAATTGAAATAATGGAATAATTCTTCTGGTAGACTTGGGGTTCCCTTTGTTGAAGCTGTACCAAGAGCAAATCAGAAATGTCCAGCTTTGACGCTCTTGTTATGCTTACAAGCAGAAATTCTAATTTACATTTCTCAACGGGTGACGGTGAATTCTTTTCGGGTCCCAGACGGTTCAACCATGAACTCTGCAGCTTTTTGTTTGCGTGGGGTTTCTTTTTTTTCATGGTCTATTCCGTTACATTTTTAATACACTCTTTTTGCTCATATTTAACTTTTAATTCCTGTTTTTGGAATGTGTGGAAGTGAAGTAAATGGAAGCTCTTCTCTGCACTTTTTACACGACGATGACAGGAGTGTCAGTAACGGAGGGCAATCACACACAGACTCGCACACATCTGTTGTTTTTTTTTTTTTATTGTTGTTGCACAAGATCAGTAGATTTTTAGCCCTTGTATTAATGGATTGTGTTTGACGTCTTGTGCTTTGTCCCACTGTCTCTGGACAGCAGAAAGTGGGTTTGAATAAATGGAGACGGACAGGCTACATAAATCAGATAGCTTTCCATTGGTGTTAATGTATTGGTTTATTATGTTTAGTGATGTTGGCAGTGGGGATTTTTACTCTGTGTGAACTACTTCCTGTTGTTTGATCCAATATTGAACTGCAAAGCTGAATTTAGGGTGGTTTTGGTGTTGCTGATGTCGAATAAAATCAGGAGAACGAGAACGGTTAAAAGTTTTAAAGAAGTCTGTGTATTTTCAGATTTGACATTGTACTTTTTTGGCACAAGGTGACACTGCTTTTTATGTGATGTGTAACTATCTTAAAAACAAAACAAAAAACAGCATCTTTTATAAATGCCTAAATCTGCAGAATATATGCAATGATGTAAATGTAACATTCAATCCTCAAGTATAATCCAGGTTGTATGAACTTTGTATAGTGAGTTTTAATATCGTATGGCCGTACCAATATGTATTGATCTTTATCAGAAGCCTTAGAGTTGTCGACCGAAAGTGCTCCCTTAGAATACCCTACACCTACCTGACTTTAACAAAGCATTAATATCTCTATTTTGTTGCATTTTTATTTGTACCGTTTTGAATAAAATAGATTTGTACTGTATATTTGTACCTCTCTGTGAACTACTTAAGTCGTTTTTTTTTTGTTTTGCTGTTTTAATTCTATGTACTTTAAGGACACAAAGATATTGTATTTTTATTGTTACAGCTAACTTGGAGACATTGCATTTATCATGTTTGTTAAGTAAACAATATAATATAATATATATATATGTGCATATATATATATATATATATAAATATAAACTATTATCCAACTTGTGTGCAGTGTTTCTTCAGTCTTATTCATGTATTTAGTGTAGATTTTTTTTTAAGTGGCATTTAGAGAAAAGTAGTGATGGAAGAAGTATCAAGAAATATTACTAAAATGTAAAGTATGCTGTTACAAGTAAAATTATGAATGCTGGACTTAAGTACAAGTTCAAAAGTTTAATTAGCAGTATGAAGCAGCAGAAGGAACCCTGTCATAGCATGATGAGTTTGGTTTATTATCACTGATGCATTACTATAAAAAGGGGAGCTAATTTAACTTTATATACTGTAAAGTAGTTTAACCTGTAATACCGCATCTTACTCTAGAAGTTAGTTATGTGTTTTTAATGTCAGATCTTGATCTTTACAGTAACAAGTATAGCTGGTAAATGCAGTGGTATAATTCTGTTGACGCCAATATCTGCAACTGAAAGTTTATAAGTAATATCTACTAATACTGAATGCAACTGAGTTTATAATATTGAAATATTTTACTTTGAAAACCATCGATCTGAATGTATGTGGTTTGAACATAGACCGTTTAAAAAGATGGACGTAGTGTCTGACGTCAGCCATAAGGTTTTGAAACTTTCGTAGGGTTTGATTCCCCTGGATTTTCAGAAGGTTATTTAAAGTGTTCAAATTAATCTGTCTGATTTCAATTATTCAAGTTACTCAAAATAAAAAAGCTTCAATTGTAAAATTAAAATTAACCACAAAATCTTATCTCTTAAAATGTTAACAATTTTCCAATATTATTTAATGTTTTAAGTTATATTTCCAACAGTATTTAGTAGTGATTTAATGTCACAGTAAGTTATTCAGTGACATGTATGTTTGTATAACTTATTAAACTACAATAATTCTTCTGTATTTTAATTTAGTGGAGTATACAGTGGGTACGGAAAGTATTCAGACCCCTTTAAATTTTTCACTCTTTGTTTCATTGCAGCCATTTTCCAAAAATCAAAAAAGTTCATTTTATTTCTCAGTAATGTACACTCAGCACCCCATCTTGACAGAAAAAAAATAGAAATGTAGAAATTTTGGCAAATTTATTAAAAAAGAAAAACTGAAATATCACATGGTCATAAGTATTCAGACCCTTTGCTCAGTATTTAGTAGAAGCTCCCTTTTGATCTAATACAGCCATGAGTCGTTTTGGGAAAGATGCAACAAGTTTTTCACATCTGGATTTGGGTATCCTCTGCCATTCCTCCTTGCAGATCCTCTCCAGTTCTGTCAGGTTGGATGGTAAACGTTGGTGGACAGCCATTTTCAGGTCTCTCCAGAGATGCTCAATTGGGTTTAAGTCAGGGCTCTGGCTGGGCCATTCAAGAACAGCCACGGAGTTGTTGTGAAGCCACTCCTTCGTTATTTTAGCGGTGCGCTTAGGGTCATTGTCTTGTTGGAAGGTAAACCTTCGGCCCAGTCTGAGGTCCAGAGCACTCTGGAAAAGGTTTTCGTCCAGGATATCCCTGTACTTGGCCGCATTCATCTTTCCCTCGATTGCAACCAGTCGCCCTGTCCCTGCAGCTGAAAAACACCCCCACAGCATGATGCTGCCACCACCATGCTTCACTGTTGAGACTGTATTGGACAGGTGATGAGCAGTGCCTGGTTTTCTCCACACATACCGCTTAGAATTAAGGCCAAAAAGTTCTATCTTGGTCTCATCAGACCAGAGGATCTTATTTATCACCATCTTGGAGTCCTTCAGGTGTTTTTTAGCAAACTCCATGCGGGCTTTCATGTGTCTTGCACTGAGGAGAGGCTTCCGTCGGGCCACTCTGCCATAAAGCCCCGACTGGTGGATTGCTGCAGTGATGGTTGACTTACTACAACTTTCTCCCATCTCCCGACTGCATCTCTGGAGCTCAGCCACAGTGACCTTTGGGTTCTTCTTTACCTCTCTCACCAAGGCTCTTCTCCCCCGATAGCTCAGTTTGGCCGGACGGCCAGCTCTAGGAAGGGTTCTGGTCGTCCCAAACGTCTTCCATTTGAGGATTATGGAGGCCACTGTGCTCTTAGGAACCTTAAGTGCAGCAGAAATCTTTTTGTAACCTTGGCCAGATCTGTGCCTTGCCACAATTCTGTCTCTGAGCTCTTCAGGCAGTTCCTTTGACCTCATGATTCTCATTTGCTCTGACATGCACTGTGAGCTGTAAGGTCTTATATAGACAGGTGTGTGGCTTTCCTAATCAAGTCCAATCAGTATAATCAAACACAGCTGGACTCAAATGAAGGTGTAGAACCATCTCAAGGATGATCAGAAGAAATAGACAGCACCTGAGTTAAATATGAGTGTCACGGCAAAGGGTCTGAATACTTATGACCATGTGATATTTCAGTTTTTCTTTTTTAATAAATTTGCAAAAATTTCTACATTTCTGTTTTTTTCTGTCAAGATGGGGTGCTGAGTGTACATTACTGAGAAATAAAATGAACTTTTTTGATTTTTGGAAAATGGCTGCAATGAAACAAAGAGTGAAAAATTTAAAGGGGTCTGAATACTTTCCGTACCCACTGTATGTATAAAGAAAACCAAAATTGACCAACAACCTAGCAAACACAAATGCCATGGTTCCTAAATATCTTATGTTAAAGCCACCTACACTTACCATTTTAAGAGTAGTGTTAAAGAATTGTGTGAGACACTGCAGGGAAGTGACGCGGGACGCTACCAGTATAGTAAAGTCAATGTTTATTTCCACATTCTTTACCAGGTTTCATCACGATCTGTACATCTGTTAATCCAGTAACAGAGGATGGCATCCCCAATGTGCCATCCAATCAGAATGCATTGATATCGCAGCAAGCATGAATGTTCTCGTTAGCAGTATAAGCTCATTCATTTGGCCTTGTTCAGAGAGTTGTTTTGTAAACATGGACATTGAGAGGAAATCCTGATGGACTTAATATAGAAAGGCCAACATTTTTAACAACATTTTTCTTTTTGATTAAACTGTAAAAACAGGCAGGCATAAACTAACAGTAGAACACAAGCTCACATTGACCCATTCTAGGACAAGTGCAGTTTCACAACATGCAGTGCTTACCTAAATCCATACTGAAAGTACTGCTCGTTAAGACCAACATTACTTCAGAGTTCATGGTACTTCCTTTGCAAAATAGTATGGGAGACCACAGACGATGCCGTTTTCTGGCGCGTTAGTCCACTGTAGGACAAAGGGGGTCACAGCAATTTCAAAGAGTGACATCTGAGAATACCCAGTATTCATAGTCCGAGAGAAGAGAGAGGAAAAAATGACACCTGAAGACTTTTTCGAGAACACTGATCTGCCCTTGGTACAGTATGTCATGAATAGGATGGCAGTGAGACCCTGTTGCTTTCATGTGCTGAACTAGGAAGAGAAAACATACCTCCGCAGACAGAGTGTCTCCAGAAAAGTCACACAACTGCCTGAAACTGTCATGATGCATCAATGAATGCTTATGGACCAGGGTGTTGTAACTAGGCTCTGAGCCATCTCACTGAGTTAAATTGCCTGAGAAGCTAAACTCTTTACATTGAAGTCTGTTTAAATTAAAGTCGCATTCTGCATAGTTTTAGTGAATAGTGAATTAATTTCCCTTGGAATAAATAACAAATCTGTTGCATAGAGGTTTGATGCACTCCTAGAAGAGCCTCTGAGGATGGAACAAAAAAAAAAAATCCCTATTTTTTTCTCTTTATTAAATTTTCTGTAATAAACAGCCAGGTAGATTGACTCTGGTCTAGGAGTGACTCAAACAGAACCAGTACTTGTCCTTGTCTCTGATATTCTTTGAAGAATTCAGAAACTGCTTATTTGACACTGTTTGCATCTGGAGAAGTGAAGTCAAAAAGAAGAAAAAGAAAATAAAAAACTGGAGGCAACCTTACAGGCAGGAAATGAAATGAAACCAGGGATATCCAAACATGGCATCTAATTTAAACATTAAAACTATTTTATACCACTGATGGTAAAAGAAATCACCCAAACCTTTTCACAAGTAAAAATATATTCACATCATATTGCATAAATATGTGCTGGAATGAGGTTAATGGATATAAGTTAATAACATCTCTCTCCCAGTATGGGCTTTATGTGTCATGAAGTTAGCCCAGTGCTCAGTAACGGATGGGGTTAAAAAATAACTTTAACCACTTTAACTGGTAAAGTTTACATAATATTGAAGGTACTGAAGCTTTATGAAGCATGTGAACGCTACAGAAATTGCATGACCTGTGTATGATCCTCTATATAATAATAATAACCCACTTTCATGCTGTAATTTGATCATATTGAGGAAAACAAATGTCTTTGCGGGCAGAATTCAAGTAATGTGACAAATTCAATCGTCAACAAGTAACATATTAGGAACTGTTTCATTGTGACCACTTAATGGAACAGTTTAGCACAATATTCCTTAATGTGATGAGCCCAAAATATAAAAGAGGTAACTAATGTATCGTACAGTACAATAACAGCAGCACAGACTGAATGTTTTATGAGCCAAAGAAAAGCTCTGTAACACAAAAGTAAAAAAAAAAAAAAAAAAAAAAAAAAATTTGGAGTTTAACAATATCAGGAAAAACACAACGGATTCAAATATTGGCAAAAAAGATTGTAAAGAGGCGAATGCATTAAGTTGTACAACACAAGAGATGAGGGGGAATGTTGGGCGACACTGGGCATGTTCAATAGGACAAAACATTCAGAGTTAATCTGCTAAGAAACATTATAATCAAACCTGGGTGGTACATCTGGAACTGGTGTGTTTGTAAATCAGTTGCTCCTGTGAATGTTGTCCTATTAAAGTGCCTGAGTGATAAATGCAAACACAAATTGTTGAAAACAACCCGCATCCTCTGTAGTAGTGTATATGTAGTGTGTGTGTGTGTGTGTGTGTGTGTGTGTGTGTGTGTGTGTGTATGTGTGTGTATATATATATATATATATATATATATATATATATATATATATATATATATATATATATATATATATATATATATATATATATATAGATATATATATATATATAGATATAGATAGAGAGCGAGAGCGAGAGCGAGAGAGCTTTGGAAGCTTGGAGTTAAAACGCAGTAAGCCACAAGACAGAGGGCGCGACCATGGCGCCAGCTGAGGTAGAAGTTTGACTGAATATGAACTTCCCAGGGACCCATGTGGCAGCTTGAAGGGAGAGGTGTAGCTACCGGTAAACCCGAGTCACTGGGCAGACGGAGTGGACCAGAAAGGAGGGGGCTGTGGCTACAAAGTCCCCACTCCTGTCACTGAAGGTCCATGTGCAAAAAGATTTTCTTTCCCTCAAAGGAAGTATAACTGCTCCTACTACAATGAACTGTGTTAAATCTGCTAGCCCACAGACGAACAGATAAATCTCTTTACAACATGCTTTTATGTTGTCATCAGTACAACATGGAACATTCTCAACCCTGTTCCCAAGGTTTTCTCAACTGCAATAAATTAGAAATTGAAGTTTTTTTTGCTGTATTTAACAAAGCAGTTTGAGTGTGCAGCTGTTCGACAGAAGAAGCTAGATGTGAACCAGCTAGGAATGGTTCACTGTGACCATGGCAGCTGGATGTGCAGAGGTTAATGATGCTGCTGGAAGCCAATTGCCCCCAGCCCCCCCAGTGGCCTGCCCAATTACGGCAGTTTCATGAACAGACCATTATCAATAGAAGGGACAGGCATGGGGCAGGGGAACTGAAAGAGACTCATGTCCGCTGTGAGGGCAGCCATCGCAGCAGGGTCATGCTCTATCTGTGTCCTCAGAGCAGGGTCGATCTTCTCCAGCCGCCGCTTGATCCTCTTTGCCTCCCTCTCGCGGATCAGCCTGGCCTGCCTCTTCTCCGGTGTCTCGTTGGCCCTCTTTAAACGCATGGCCTCCCTGTCTCTCTGCAGCCTACGTGCCCGCTGCTCCTCTGATTCCTGCATCCTCTGCATGCGCTTGGCTTCGCGGTCCCTCAGCCTCCTTATTTCCCTCTCCTCTTCCGTCTCACACGCCCGCTTGTTCTTCTTTGCCGTGCGCTCGCGCTCCAGACGCTGCATGCGGGCCTCCAAGGGCTCGTTCTTCCTACGCAGAGCCCATTTTCGCATCGGCGACTGGGCCTCGACTAACTGCTGATAGGCCACGCAGCTGTTGCACACCAGCAGCACTCCGGCAGGATACACCGGCATGGGGCTCAGGATGTCGGGGATAGGAGGGAGGCTTGAGGAAGAGGAGTTAAGAGCATCGGGGATAGATGCGAGTGATGGCCCTTCAGAGAGGAGACTGTCGGGCAGTGAGGGAAAGGAGGGTCCTTGGTCAGAACCTGTGCATGGTCCTGGGCCTGAGCACGATCCAGATCCTGGGCCCGGGCCGTGACACGCTCTGGGGCCTTGACACTGGCTCGAGATATGGCCTGCTCCCTGGCAGGTACGATGGGCTTGACATAGACTGGAGTTGAGGTCAGGTGTGTGACAGGGGTGAGGGCCCTGACACGAGCTGGGGCTGGGGCCTGGTCCGTGGCAGGAGCAACTGCCAGGGCCCGGGCTGGACATGGGGCTGCTCGAGAGGGACATGGAACAGGTGTCCCTTCCACCGGTGACATCCATCCTGGTTGTGTCGAGGACATCTTTAAGCTTCTCCCTAAGAAAAGACACAGTGTTAAATAGCTGGTCAAAGTAATGCATCCCCCTTATTCATGTCTGGACGTTTGAGGTGAAGTAATTCTACACTTAAAACTCCTTAAAAGTGCATGTTATTGCGGGTTGTCCGTTAATCGGAAGGTCGGCGGTTCAATCCCTGGCTCCTACAAGCTGCATGTCGAAGTGTCCTTGGGCAAGATACTGAACCCCGAATTGCCCCTGGTGGCTGTTCCGCCAGTGTATAAATGTGTGTGAATGTTAGTTTCTGTTTGAGCACTTAGGCTCAGTGAATGTGTGTGAACGGTGAACGCAGATGTAGTGTAAAAGCGCTTTGAGTGGTCGAAAAGACTAAAAAGCGCTATACACAAATATGGAGGCACTTAATTGAACAAATTTAGCTTGATCTGCCTGGTCACATATTTTTTAACAACTGATTTCGGCTTCATCTACCAAGCTGCTATGATTAGAAAGTATTTAGTCCAAAGATGACTCATTTCATCTTACTCATTTCCCCAACTATTTGTTTCATAGATGAGCAAGACGCTGTGTCACGTGACCTGTGGTGAGTAGAATTTAGCATACTGTTAACCACCCAAGAGGTGGTGACTGTTTCCAGATAACACTACAGTGAACAAAAACACATGTGCCAGTTCACAGTTAATTATAGCTGGCGATAACAACACCAAATGACTTTCCCACACACAAAGACTCGTGGTGTTTTTTCTAAAGGTATAGTAACACCGGATTCTGCCATCTTTAATAGCTCATGGATTGTCTTGTCTTTTTCACTCCTGTCCAAGATACAGTGGGTACGGAAAGTATTCAGACCCCTTTAAATATTTCACTCTTTGTTTCATTGCAGCCATTTTCCAAAAATCAAAAAAGTTCATTTTATTTCTCAGTAATGTACACTCAGCACCCCATCTTGACAGAAAAAAACAGAAATGTAGAAATTTTTGCAAATTTATTAAAAAAGAAAAACTGAAATATCACATGGTCATAAGTATTCAGACCCTTTGCCGTGACACTCATATTTAACTCAGGTGCTGTCTATTTCTTCTGATCATCCTTGAGATGGTTCTACACCTTCATTTGAGTCCAGCTGTGTTTGATTATACTGATTGGACTTGATTAGGAAAGCCACACACCTGTCTATATAAGACCTTACAGCTCACAGTGCATGTCAGAGCAAATGAGAATCATGAGGTCAAAGGAACTGCCTGAAGAGCTCAGAGACAGAATTGTGGCAAGGCACAGATCTGGCCAAGGTTACAAAAAGATTTCTGCTGCACTTAAGGTTCCTAAGAGCACAGTGGCCTCCATAATCCTCAAATGGAAGATGTTTGGGACGACCAGAACCCTTCCTAGACCTGGCCGTCCGGCCAAACTGAGCTATCGGGGGAGAAGAACCTTGGTGAGAGAGGTAAAGAAGAACCCAAAGGTCACTGTGGCTGAGCTCCAGAGATGCAGTCGGGAGATGGGAGAAAGTTGTAGTAAGTCAACCATCACTGCAGCAATCCACCAGTCGGGGCTTTATGGCAGAGTGGCCCGACGGAAGCCTCTCCTCAGTGCAAGACACATGAAAGCCCGCATGGAGTTTGCTAAAAAACACCTGAAGGACTCCAAGATGGTGATAAATAAGATCCTCTGGTCTGATGAGACCAAGATAGAACTTTTTGGCCTTAATTCTAAGCGGTATGTGTGGAGAACACCAGGCACTGCTCATCACCTGTCCAATACAGTCTCAACAGTGAAGCATGGTGGTGGCAGCATCATGCTGTGGGGGTGTTTTTCAGCTGCAGGGACAGGACGACTGGTTGCAATCGAGGGAAAGATGAATGCGGCCAAGTACAGGGATATCCTGGACGAAAACCTTTTCCAGAGTGCTCTGGACCTCAGACTGGGCCGAAGGTTTACCTTCCAACAAGACAATGACCCTAAGCGCACCGCTAAAATAACGAAGGAGTGGCTTCACAACAACTCCGTGGCTGTTCTTGAATGGCCCAGCCAGAGCCCTGACTTAAACCCAATTGAGCATCTCTGGAGAGACCTGAAAATGGCTGTCCACCAACGTTACCATCCAACCTGACAGAACTGGAGAGGATCTGCAAGTAGGAATGGCAGAGGATACCCAAATCCAGATGTGAAAAACTTGTTGCATCTTTCCCAAAACGACTCATGGCTGTATTAGATCAAAAGGGTGCTTCTACTAAATACTGAGCAAAGGGTCTGAATACTTATGACCATGTGATATTTCAGTTTTTCTCTTTTAATAAATTTGCAAAAATTTCTACATTTCTGTTTTTTTCTGTCAAGATGGGGTGCTGAGTGTACATTACTGAGAAATAAAATGAACTTTTTTGATTTTTGGAAAATGGTTGCAATGAAACAAAGAGTGAAAAATTTAAAGGGGTCTGAATACTTTCCGTACCCACTGTATATCACGGCTTCCACAGTGTTTCTCCATCTACTATGTGTCCTGACCTTGCTCGTGCTGTTTCAATTTGAAACGTAACGGTAGTTGCTAAGCAACATGTAAGTTTATTTCCATTAAATCTGTCATTCCAGTACTAATTTTATTCATCCCTCATGTTCTGCATCGTGACTGATCTCACACTCCAGGAATCACTGCTCTGTCCTGTTTGAGTGTGCTGCTTTACAGACACATTTTCAGTCTGTTCACCTTTTGATAGATTTTGACCACATTCAGTCAACCTAAATATTCATCTTTTGAGAGATTAATTTTTCAGTTTAGTCACTGCACTCCTGCCAAAAAATTGTTTTTTGATGTTTACGAGGAATTAAACTGTATTATTTTAAGTTGATTCTCCTGCTTGATCAGTGATGATGTCTGCTGACTTTGTCGCATGCTAAAAATATCTGTGAGATCCTGCTAGAAAGATGAATAAAAACAGAGGTAACAAAATAGATAAACACTATGAGATAAACACTATATTTTATATTGTCTATTTATTATGATTTATTTGAATCTTTTTCGACGTGAAAACTGTGGAAGCAGTTGACTACTATGTTATTAATTTAAAGTCAAACACAGACACTTTGGGGCCATAATAACAGATCTACATCTACAGCATCTGAATACTTCTTCGTTTAAAAAAACAAACAAAATCAATGTGCATTAAAGGCCTGAGACCAGAGATGCAGTAGTGATGAACCGAACCTGTTAAAGTTGTTGGTGTCTGTGAAGCGTGCGCCACAGACAGCGCAGTTGGAGAGGCGGTCCTCAGAGTGGATGAGAAGATGCCGTCCAAGCGAGCCAGGCGAACTCAGGGCTCGCCCACACACTGGGCACACATAGCTCTTGGAGTTGCTCATCATCGTTGTGTGCTGTTCAAGACAGCAAAACAAGATGAGAACAAGAAACCGGGAAAAGAACACCGCCAACGTTAAAAGATGACAACCGTCTACTTGTTGTTGTAGCTGGTTCTCAAAATTTAGAACAGTAACAAGCTGGGATTAACAAAAAAGAAAATATGGTAATAATAACAGGGGATTGCAGAACAAGTGAAACACTTCTGCATGTACACTTCACCAGTAACATAACAATGGAAATATGGCTACTAAATATTAATAAATATTTTAAACTGTAGATGATCAATTAAAGAAATATTATTACTATATTACTACATATTATTAGTATGAAAAATGTCTCAAATGTAACAACTGCTAAACTATAATAATCATAACTGATGGTGTGGGCATAACGCACAGTACTGCACATCCTATAAGCATGTAAAGTTAGAATCTTAAAAAAATGGAAGATCTGTCCTTTGATTTTCTCGACAATCGTTACAGTACATTCAACAACAGATGAAGAAAGAGAGACCGGAGATACTACAAGTCTTGTAAGTTTGTCATTTTGTAATGGAGACACTGAATGGAGATTTGACATCACTTTGGAAATAAAATGTTCGTGGGAGCTTTTGCATACAAATGATGCATATATGCAAGGCATTGCTACGGGCTGCAACTATGGCAGGTGTATTGCTTAGGACTAAAGGAAGTGCAGAGTCAAGTGTGACCTTATCTGGATGAGCAGTTCTCTAGAAAGCAATATTGGAGGCCAAGCAATGGGCCCGTTCCGAACAGGCACAGTTGAGCGGCCCATGCTTAGTTTTATCAAAAAATGGAGGACAGTTTATATTTAGTAGGGCTGACCCCTAATAGTCGAAGGTTCGATGCTTCAATGGGCGGAGCCTGATTTGACTGTCAATCTCACAGTCGAAGCTTCGCAGCGAAACAGGGATCGTACCATTTTGGCAATATGGCAATTGCTGCACACAAAAACACACGTGATTCGACTATCAGTTGACTATAGGCAGGACTTGACGATTCTGATTCGACTATGTAAATCCTTAGTCGGGGACAGCCCTAATATTTAGTGTTTATTATTTACTCTTTTAAATGTAATACTAAAGCCATACAACAAAATCTGCAGATGTGAAATTGTTAAACAACATAATTGGAATAACAAAATTAAGTTGACCCAGTTTTGAAAATAAAGTCTATAGGTACACATTAAATGATAAGACATGTCAAATACTAACAGCGGCAACTGTCTTGTGGCACTGTCCATACAGTCTATGTGGGTTAACGATCTTAAGTGCAAGAACCACAAACTGCCTGACTACCCCAAACATTTACAGTTAGGAGTGTGTCACTTCTGCAAATGCTAAAGTACAGTATAAATCAGCTACTGAATGTGAAGTGAGACTTCACAGCCATTGGTGTGGACATGTATAATGAGAGTGGAAGGTGTGGATTATGTAAAATAAAAGGATAAAGATAAGATAAAATAGACTTTATTGACCCCACACTGGGGAAATTCACCAATGAAAGACCCTTCAAGATGAGGTGAACCTGCAACTCCAACATATTTAAGAGAGCACTGCAAAATGAACGACTCCTACATGACAAAGTAGGCGCAGTGGATTGGCTGACACAAGTCAACACCTTCTCCCTTAACCTGTGTTTCACTGAAGTTCTGGTGCTGAAAGCTACTTATGAGGCTTTAAAAGGTGACGACCTACCACTAGCAACAGACTGCAGTAAAGAATCTAAAGCTGCTTTGTTTTCATGGTTCTATCCTAGGTAAGGACAGGCGAGACAACGTTCTCACCTGGTAGACATGGGAGATCAGCTTCTCGGGGCTGCTGAAATCCAGCGTGCAGAGAGGACAAACAAAGTTGATGCCGTGGTCTGCCCCTTCCTCGCTCTCCTGAGGAAAACCAAGCATCATTAAAACATTTTTCAGGAGCAACACCAGTGCTATACTGCAAAGTACACCTACACCTCACAGCATTGTGTTAGGATATCATATGCATTTTGATATTTATTTTGCTTCTAGAGGTATTATACTCAATCAATTTGTCCTAATTTTCTCTTTGTATCCTGAGTAATTTAAGGCAAACCAAACTGAGGCAAGGCAGAACTGATTAACATCACACGGTGCATGCTTAAAGAACAATGCTAGAAAATGTAACTTGTGTTTTATTTCTCGCTGGGCCTTCTGCAGAGTCGCTGCTCATTTCCCACGTTTCCGGCTGAAGCATTTTTGAAGTGCTACTGTATATGACGATGTGTTGTAAATAAGCAAAACTCTCCCAAACCCCAGTGACATGATGCGGTGTGCTGTCACAGATGTGACTCACACACAAGCTGATAAATAGAACATTTTTAAACAGAAGGCCCAGGCACAAAACATACTGGCTGCCACCAGAGTCGTCCATTAATTTGAAGTGCTTCTCGTTTCTCTTGTTCCTGTTTTTCTTCATTGCGTGTATTCAAGTTTACAACAGTCACAAGTTGTCAACCCAAAAAGAAGTGCTAAATGATGTTACGGCATTCTAAAAATGTTTTGCTGCTAAATGAAAATACCTCTTTAATCTGCAAATTTCTCTAATTTGACAGAAAGTCTGCCCACCAGATAATGCTCTCATTAACATTTACTAGTATACTACCATGTGACATCACATGGTAGTATAAATATTCATAGGAGTATTTTTCACACAATTTACACACATGAAGGCCAAACTTAAAAGGTGACCATATGAATGTTAAACATATGTCTGCACACTTGCGGTACAACTAGCAGAAACCTAGTTTGTGTTTCAGACTTTTCACAGATGATCTGATGAGAAGGAAACACTGTGAAAATGTCGGATATCAGCATTTCCTGTTCCCATTGACTCGTTAAACCTGCAGTGACACAAACTCCTATAGCAAACACTAAACACAGAGTGGACAGCTATCTCCAAATCAATATTCAGCTGTTTCATGCACAACCGTTTCTCATTTTCACAGCACTCATTTCAAAGTCTTGCCACAACCCCTTTAGTTATGAACCACATGCGATGCGCCGCTTATCTCAAAATGAAACTGGGCACCAATGCAGTGACTGGCAGATCCTTGTCAATAATTTATCTCTGTGTATGTTCATGCCACAAGACCAGCTGTGCAGTACAGTGGGCCATTGTGTAACAGACAGGCAGCACTCACGCTAATTAAAAGATGAGGAACCCGCCCTCTCACCTTTTTGACTCCTGCTCCTTGTAGGCGGCACTGTGATCTCTTGGTGGTCATGTGGTCGTCGGCGGAGGTGTTGGAGGACGAGTCTTCACCGTGGTTGTCAGGATCACTATCACTGTCTTCTATGGAGGCAAACACAGCCCTATCAATACAGACAGACAACAGAACACAGAGCAGGGCTTACTCTCACTAACACCCCTCAGTCCGAGGACGTCCCTGCAAAGTCCATCCACTCCTCCCCTGTCCCGTCCCTCCAGCCTGTACCTGAGATGCTATCCTGCTCTTGGACTTCCTGGGAGTTGTTGCTGCAGCATTCACTGTCTTCGGTGAATTCGTCCCTGCCATCCATGTTAATAGTGTGCTGAAATCCTGTGATGCCAGAAGTGTGGAATGGCCCTGGAGATAGACAGAAGCAGTCGGTGAGATAAAGTGTTTCCAGTGAGCGACTGACTGGAAAGATAAAAGAGAATAGTGAGGAGGGCAGGTGACAACCATATTTGTATACTGTGAGCTAAACATACATAAAAATATATATTTAAAACTACGGGTAGGTAATATGACGATACATGCCATGGCAACAATCATTTTAACATCTCGGTTTATTAGACCAAATCTTAACTGCTTTGTGGTCATATTGTATTTTAATGTTGTTATAAGATGAGATAAAGCACCTTGATATGCCAATTATTTTATTTTGTAGGATTTGCTCTTACTCTTATTTAACACTCTCATTTCAAAATCATGTGATTAGAATTAGTTAGAGCCAGACCTTTGGAACCTTGTTGAAGAAAAGCCCTAGCATTAGTTGTGGATATGAGCGAATGAATCAAACAATAATAAAATGCCAAGAACTGCAGATCAAGGTTCTTTTTGTTTACAGCTGCATAAAAAGGTGTGGGGCACATGAAAGGAAGACCGAGCCCATCTATCAAGTGTCACAATTTAGATGGCTGTTTTTTGTATGACACCGTACTGCAGTTTCCTGCATACCATGAACCATACCATGACCAGAGGTACCAGAGACGCTACTGTGACTGTGAACCGTGGTGGAAGGACCTGTAGTTGAGGAACTGATTTCACAATTAACATACTTTGTAAAATATGATGACAATTCATAATATTTTGGAGCTAAACATGTTGATAAATAAAGTCTGTTTTAATACAGAAGCCTCCTTTTTATCTGTATATTGTACCTTCATAGCAACATAGAAACAACATCTACTGACACAGCATACCACAAGAAGGTATGAATTTTTAACACTAGTGCATTCACCTAAAGTTCTTGTTTTGTCCACAAGACACACACAATGTATCCAGGCCTGTGACCTCAGAACATTTAGCTATTTGATGAAGCACAGAATGGTTACAGTAATACAAAAACAGTGTCAAAGGTGAAAACTATGATAAACAGCACAAATAACTCAGCACCAGAGAGTGACATAATAATTTATACAATTCTACATTTTTCTCAAGATTCAGATCACAGGAACTTCGCCAATCCGGCTGCTTTGACACGAGCCGCGCGACACTGAACCATAATGAATGCTAAGCCGAGCAAGGCAAGCCCACTGACATACGTGCACACACATTAACTTCATTTGCATCCCAACCCCCACTTTTTCACACACATATACACGCACACACACACTCGCAAGTACATGCTAGCTCTGTTCGACAGCCATGCTGCAGTCCCACGGGGGAAGCAGCCTTCACTCCTTTCTTCTAGCTAACTGCCTCGCTACTCGCTGTGTTTCTCTCTCTCTCAGTACAACCCACACACTGAACAGCCTGGCTCGCCCTCTGTCCTCCCTGCTTGTATGTCGCTCTGACTACTTCCATATCTATACCATCAGCTCTGAGGGGGAGGATAAAGCTACATACCATGGCAGCCAAATATGTGGCTCATTTAACTCTTTGTGATGCCAGTCTTTTGTTTTATGGTAGCCCTGTGCGCTGCAGGATTCTATGAAATCCCTTTACTTTTCTTATTATTACACTTGACCGTGCAAATCTAACTGCCAGCCCTGCTTCATTGGAGACAGTTTTATTGAAAGCACCTCTGACATTCACACACAAGAACATCCCACTTCATGGCTAAAATTAATGAAAGCTTAAAATCCAATTTTCATCCCTTGTGTGCTCTCCCTCCATTAACACAGATCAGAGATAGTGGAGAGATCCTGACTTCAGTTACCTGAGACTGACAGAAGTAATTACAGCCCTCGTCACAAACCTGAGGTATCGTACACTCATACTGGGTCTCTCTCTTTCTCATTCTGTGTGTCTGAGAGAAACATAGGTACAATCTTTGAGGAGGTTTGTTAGTGGCAAGAAGTTAGTATGTGTACAGTTACAATACAGTTCAGGCACTTTTCCAATAGAAATCAAAGCATTCATTTACACTACTAGAGTGGGTTGGAGTACTGAACTATGAACTACTACAACAAGCTGGCTTCACGGCACGTCGCCAGTGATTGATGTGTGAGAGATACCCATCCCCCCGCTGCTATGGCTCTGTCTGTACATCTGTCTCTCCCTCCCTCCCTCCCTCAGTCTCTGCCACTGTGATGTTATCTCTGAGTCTGTGTGTCTGTAGGCAGGAGGTGACGCAGTGTCTGACTGAATCCAGACAAAGAGACAAACTCATCAGCCAACAGACACACAGAAGAGGGAGAGGAGGAGGCAGTGGGGGTGGGGGGTGGAGGGGCGCGCAAAACAAAACAGACAAAAGATAGAATGCCAAAACTCTACTCAAACACTAAGCAATGGGGGTCCTGTTGAATTCAAAGTCCCCTCCTTCTGCTTTTCAGCCGCCGTCCCGTCCAAAACACACACACACCACGTCTGAATCTGCAGGAAGTGCTGGGGCCTCTATCTTACACACACACACACACACACACACACACACACACACACACACACACACACACACACACACACACACACACACACACACACACACACACACACACACACACACACACACACACACACACACACACACACGAGAATGAGGATGGTGGGCCAGACATAGGATCAATTCTCACTCTGATTAACTTGTGACCTACTATCACAGAGAAGAAGGTGAAGTGACCATTTTTCTCTGTGGGAGACTTTCTCTGGTTAATCTGGCACCTGAAATTAACGTTGACGCTCCTCCTTGATGATTACAACAGAAAAGTGATATTTACAAAGTTGCATTGGGCTTCTGATCAGCCACAAGTCTACGCTGTCACCATGAATGCACACTGTAGTTGCAGGTGATCAAGACATATTTGTGCTGAGCTACTACAGCACATTTAGGGAGAAAACAAAACCAAATTCAGGTGCTTGCCAGGAATGGGTGTATATATATATAATATATATATAATATATATATTAGATGAAAAGTCCAATTTAAAATAAAATGAAGCTTCTGTTGCCACACATATGATGTGCAATTAGAAAAGCTACGCAGCATTTATTGTAGTGAAATCTTTACAGTATAACAGTTTAACAGTAATAAATGCACCTATTCTATTAAAAAAAACTATTTACTGTCAACCTGAAGGACACCTCTACTTTTCTCCGTAATGCATGCACCACCTCCAAACATAATTAACTTTGATATAATGCTGTTTTTCTTGGTGTTGTTGTATATCAAACTCAAGGAGGAACACAAATAGCTAGACAGACAGCACTGTTGTATTATTGTCTGGAATTCCCTGTGCGTGCATGTGTGTGTTTTTGTGTGTGTGTGTGGCAGCCCGCCTGCTTGTCAAGACTGTCTCCCTGCCTGTCTGGTCTGTCAGTCTGTCTATCTGGTCTGGACCTCTCTAGAGGGGGGAGGGAGGGGGCCTCTGTGCATGCAATTCATACCTCACAAGACAGGTAAAGCAATCAAGGCAAAGCAGAGGAAAGTGAATGTACAAACACAGTGCCTAAACTCACACTCTGGGAGGTATGGCTTGTCAGTCTAAAAAAATAGTTTTGGCATTTCTCCCTGCGTGAAGTGCACTAACGTATGCCAACATCACACTGTAATAGGCCCTCCTGAGGAGATTTCAGCTCCCACTCTGGACTCTTGTAAAAGTGTTACCGAGCAGCAAATGAGCTCATTAGCTCTCGGGGATTACTGCAGTCACAAGTGCAAGATGTATTTCAACAGCAGTCTAAACAAACTGTTTAGAAAGGAGGGCTGCGGCATACAGGACTTCATCAGATTACATCCAGGGGGCGGGAGGCCAAAAGCTAAAGCACAGAGAGCAACACCAGTTGATTCACACCAGGGACCTCGCCAGAATTCCTTAGTTAATTTTGTGTACTGTATGCTAATATTTTGTAAGAATATAAAACTGAAATTACTTAATACTTTAGTGCCATTGGTAGTAGGCAAGAAAGCCCTGCATTCAAAGAGGATGCTTGAGGACAATGTGCCACTCAGAAAGCATTCATCAGAAATTAATCAATAAGAGAAAATGTGTACTTCTTATAGCCTTATATAGGTTTATTGTAGCTATATAGAATATATAGATATATAGAATATATGTAGAATAGATATTCTGTAGCTATCTCATTCTAAAAAGAGACATTACAGAAACATTGATTTCAACAACGGCAACTACGCATATTTTGCAAAGCTGAGGCTGTACTTTGTGCCGAGTATATACTCTGTGGGGGTGCAAATTATTATTTTTGTTCATGATTAATGTTTAGATTATTATCTCGATGAATCGTTTTGTCTATAAAATAGAAGAGAATAGTGAACAATTCCCATTTTAACTTCGCAGGAAGTGTTCAAATTGCTTTTTAACAGTGCAAAAGCCATAAATATTCTGTTGACCATCATGTATGACAAAGAAAAGCATCAAATCCACACATTTGAAAAGCTGGAACCAGATAGTGTTTGGCCATTTTTTTTTTTTTACAATAAATAAATAAAAAATAAAAAAATCCATAGATAATTATCAAAGTATATATTAAAATGCCTTTCCTGTTGATCCACTTATCGATTAATTAATTGTTTCAGCTCCCCCGTTTTGTATTGTTTCCTATCTTTGTTTCCTGAAACTGAGATGTGAACCAATGACACCACGCAATCTGCAGCGTGAAAAACGCTTGCCCCTTCTTATCGCGGTTCATTATACTCATTGTGCCTGCTTCTTCTTAACACCCACACCATGTTTTTGCTAAGTCAAGCTACAGAAATGACACCTTAAAACCAAACCCAGAGACATGGTTAGCCCACAAGCCCTGACATAACAGAAAACTACAGGAAGATACCATTGTGAGTCAGTCTACTTTGGAAACACACAAATGGTGATATGAATTAATAGTCCCCGAGCACGCCACTGAAAGTTTGCAAACATTAATACATTTCAAAGGAGAAATGTTTACATTACTTTGTTGCAAGACCCTTTCACATGATCAATATATATTGCTGAGTTCATCATAAAATAATAACAGCTACTATTAAGTATGAGTATTTACCAGCTCATTAGCATAGTTTTTTAATTTAGTTATTCAGTGGCTTAGCATTTTCTTTTTTTATTGTATTATACTTGGCCAGAGATTGATTTCAAATAATGGACAATAAGTGTTGCTGTCCACTTGCTTTATTTCTGTCTCTTTTGCTTTCATACATATGTAACTGTTACAATTTAACTACTAGAGGGGTCACTGTGGAATAAAGGAGAGATTTAAAAAAAAATGGATCAGCGAGTAAAGTCTTGTGCTGTATTCTCACGTGAACTACAAACCAAAATGAAAGTGAGCTGTCCATCACCACTCTGACAAGAAAACTGTTATGCAAACCTAAAAACATTCCAATGACATTTAAACGCTACCTGCCCCATCTTTGGTTTCAATATGAATCCATCACAAGCTACAGTGGACATCAAGGAAAGCAGCTGAAACACTGTTAATGCAGGTAGCTACAGACGCACATTCCGCCCAGAGAACCAGAGTATACCCGGATAATGGACGTGCCACGGATAAATAACTCATAAAATAGTAGTATTAGACAATACCTGGAATACCTACAGTTAACTTTGAAGGGGTTGGTCTGTTTTCGCCTGGACATATTAATGCCCACTCCCGGTATAAAAACTGGAATCTCCTCCTAACCCCGGACGGTTACCCTGACACCAGTCCAGGTGTTTTCCGCACTGAGGAAACAGATGATGAACGAAATAATAAAAAAAAAATAAATGTAACCAAACCGTCTTCTCGATCAGCAGAGTCGGGACCATTTAATAGGGTAAAAAAATAAAAAACGGATGCATACAAGAGTCACATTCTTGCAGTCGTTAAAAAAGCCCCGTCTCCAGTCGACCAGGGGGGTTTAAATGATGTCCAAGCCCGACCAAGAGAGACACCGAGCAGCCCCGAGCTGCTCCGATCCCGAGCCGCTGGCACCCGCGCACTCACTGCAGCGATGCACGAGCTCAGCTGATCTCTAACGTAAAAAAAACGATGAAGCCATACCGAACAGGATTGTGGGAAATGCAGGGACGATGGTGAGTTCACGCTAAAGATACTAATGCTGCGTTCAGGTCGTGTGGGAGGAAAGAAAACGACTGTGTAGAGAAACCTCACAAGATTTTCACATAGGCTATGCACGACCTGAATATTTTTAGAGAGAAGTCATAATATCTAAAGGTGCTCAAAATATATTTGAGAATTACTTCGCCGTACTCTGAAAATGTTTCTGAGATAAACAACATATTATACTTTGTGTCTACAATAACCCACATTGATGGCAGTTAAAATTAGGGTTAGATCTACTTTGAAAATTTTGGTATATTTTTTAAACATATTAAATATTAAGTAGAACCCACTGGATAATAATATGTCGACAATTTAGTCAAACTACCATTTTCAAGGTCAAGAATAAACCTTCACACACTCCACCTTAATTTGTCCTAAAAGTGCCTAAACCTGAAACCATAGCAGCTAATGAGCTTGCATGTCAACAGACTCACCTCCATGACAACAACTAAACACATAACCAAAGATTGAGAGATACAGTTGAAAGCTCCTGAAAAAAGCGAGTGAGAAGACGGCCTTGAGTTGAGATTGTTTTTGTCAAATCACCAACTCTAGACATTATGTCAAAAAAATATGTCAATGAAGTAGATAATTTTCATCTTCCACAAATTTTCTAGTATAATTTAGACCCCAACCAACAACATACCAACAATATATCGGATAATATATCAGTCAATGCTTGTCTCCTCAACCCAAAGATTTTTGATAATGATCACTTGATTTGGATTAATTAATTGTGACCAAGACATGTACTGTACCCTTGAAAACAAACTTGTCAGTGCCCTCTGGTGGACAAACCATGCAACGGCAAAACAAACATATCTTGTGCATTTCCCTACTGCAATTTACTTACTGGCCAAAATATATGGCCTACAGATACTGACATACTGTATCTGTATTAAGTTACTATTGGCAGATAATATGGGCTCTAGTGTGTATAAGTTCTCGTGGAAATTGTATGATATGTGTCTCACAAAGTAGGACTCATTTTTAAGGGTCATTTCACCCAAATCAAAAAGAAAATTTTTGTAGATCCACTGAACTACTGAAACTGTTGATAGCATGGAGTATCCACAGCAGGACACCTTTGTATTCCGGCTTTGTGAGACAGGCCACTAGAGTGGACGAGTGTTGATAGGAGTGCTGTTTGTTCACCCAGATGAAAAGCCTCTAGGCTGACAGGTCAAATATATGGAAAAGTGACTTGATGGGTGTGAACTTGTATAAACATTGACATAGAATTGATTAATATGGGTTACAGTAAGACGGACAATAAGTCAAAGAGTCTTGAGGGTGGACAAAATGTAGTATTTTCCAACAGAAATAGCAATGCACATGAAAATTAGCATCACATTAAAATAACCCTCTTCATTTTTCATCTTCATTGTTTTCTTGATAAGATATGCGAGTACCTATTTGTTACTTACTGTGGCCCTGTGATGAACTAGCAACCTGATCAAGGTGTCTATCGCCCACCTGGTGTATGCTGGAATAGCTTCCTGTCCCCCTTGAGCCTAAATAGGAATAAGTAATATCAATGTATGAATGATTTTCTATAATTTCTTACATTTCATTGTGACATTTTTAATGTAGCAAATCAGAGAAATCAAGGCCCAAAACTCAAGTTTCTGAATATGTACCTGAAAGCTAAGGTTAATGACATCTAACGTGTTTCAAACCATACCTCTCAACATGTCCTTTAATACTTATTTCATATCAATTATTTGCATTGTCAATCAGTAAATAGAAATTCTCATTTGTTAATAGAGAAGCCCCAGTCAGTTTCTAAAAAGTGAAAGTTTGTGTCTGCAAAACAAGATGGATATGGGCAGATCAAAGAACTACAAATGATTAAAAATGTCCAAGCAAGGTAATATTAGACTAAATAATAAATATAATTTTAGTGTTTCCATATGACATGAAAACTATTAAGTATTTAATAAGGTCATATCCACCTCTAATTCTCCATCCAGCAGAATGCTTGTTTACATAGACCGTTGTATGATAATTTTAGGCTGTGGACACAAAAATAACAGGCTCAGCTGAAGTCTTCACATCGCATTACAAGCATCAAATCCGAGGGTAATTAAAATGGCCTTTTTAAAAAGCTTTGGGACACTTTAATATTCACTGACACCAACATACTTTTTAACCAGTGCTTTTTGTTACAACCATTATTTTAGTGTTGTTTCCACCTGACTTTATGTTTCATTACAATGCATTTGACTATATTTCAACCTTATTTCTACATATAAATGTGATCTGTATCCATGAAAGCTTTTATAATGATACTTACTTAGTCTTAAGACCAACCCTGATGCGGTTATGTATCTAATGTTTAATAAACCATTAATCAAGCCCAACCTATAGGATGATAATTTCTTGGACATCCCAGTAACAACACTAGGTGGCGCTCCAAACCACTGAACTCCTAATGTCATAACATTACATGTAGTCGTCATCACTGACTGCCACGAGTGAACGGACCGCAGCACGACATTGGCAGCGTAAAAATGTATTCTTCCGCAGGGTTAACAGAAAATATGCCATCTCAACAAAATAATCTCGTAGTGTCATGACATTTACGGCGTTTGAATAATAAGTGACAGATTACGTGCATTAATATGCAACCTGAAAGTCACGTTACACACAATTATTTAGAATCAATCATTGAAATTAACATTAGCTAGCTGGCTAAACATAACAAGCCCAACGCTAGCCCTTCATAGTCAAGGCGAGAACGATGGATCAGAACAACCTTACTAGCAAGGCAGCAACTAGCAAATGATAACCAACGTTAACAGTACAGCCAGTCACCTAGCTAACTTACAGCTCTCATCATCATGAAGACGTAATTCAACTATTACCCATGGTGTCCGAGGAACACTGGCATATCAGGTGGGAGTCTCGGCAGTGGTACAGCCTGTGAAGACCACAGACTAACGTTACTGTACGATGATGATAAACTTCAGCTCTGTCCGCGCTTCTTTCACTAACCTCTGGGAAATGTCAGTGTAACCCTCCGCCTGCGGTAGATGTGCTGAGGCTGGAGTAGCCACCATTTTGCATGTCTAGTGTGTTCCTCCCTCCATTGCTAATAGAGACGATTCCAGTCATTTTCTGGCATCATATCGGCTAGTAAGTATATTCTACGAACAAATATGTCGGTAGGAATATATGGAAATAGTTTAACTTATGAGTAATCATTAGCGGTTTGTTTGTATCTACGTTGACAACTCTCACTGTGGCGCTGCATAGGAAGTCGCAGCCCTCAGTATACCGGGGTTGTGCCTGTCAGCAGCTAAGTTAGCTAGCACAGTTAGCAAACCTTTAGCTTTGCTGAAACTACCTGCTGTGCTAGGGATGTGAAGCTCAATAGCAATTTATGTTGTGTAGCGTTCCACTAAGTCCCAATCACCGTGACAACACGTAACGCCAAACTTATGTTTTATATCTTTCTAGCTAACGTTAGCTAACATAATTATCATTTGCATTTTTAGTTCAGGTAGCATTCAGACATTGTAATAGGAAAAAAAACGACTAACGACTGATCAGGTACCCAGCTAACGCCACAGAGGACTCGCTAGCTTGATAATCCAAATGCTCCAAGAAGGCCTAAACTGCACCATGTCTTGATCAATCCACGATCTGATTCAGGTGTCATGCCCAGCCTGTAATGGCCTCTCATTTCATTTCGACAACATCGTTTGATGCTATTGACGTTGAACATCCAGTTAATCCAATAATGTCAGCCAAGGTGAAGCCACTGCTGTAGTGTCAACCTAATATGATGCCCTTTCACTGGAAATATTAGCGTATACTAGTGCTAGCTTGTTGTTAGCTGACTTTTGCTTGGTGTAATGTGCGTTAGCAAAGTAACATTAAGCATTTGACGTTTGGCTCAAAGCTTAGTGATGATATCAGACTTGCCTAACCTGACAAAGTGTAAACATTTGAGCAGTAAATCAACGTTCAATTTCGATATCCAGGAAGCTAACGTGAGCTAGCTTAGTGTGTTAAGGACGTGGACTTATTTTTGCTGTAGTTTCTTAAGTTAGTTGCTTGGTGTTGCCTTCTAAATAAATACGTTGTCAACATTAAAGACACACTCCTTTTAATAATACGAATACGTCATCTGAGGTTGAAGGTGTTTTCATAAAGCAATTTGTGGGTTTACGTTAAGGAAGCTATCTGTAAGTAGGAAGTGACCAAATGAGGATGACGCAGAGCATGGGTGATTCCTCTACATTTATGTCACATCTCTTTTTGAAAGCTGTAGAACATTTAAGGAGTGCCATTCCTAAAAATCCTGGGTAATAATCACAGTTTGTCAGGATACAGTTGTGTAATATTTGCAGTAGACAGATATGGCGAGGAGATGTCAAGGATTGACTAGACTCCAACTTGTTCTTTGAAATTAAATAATTCAGTGTGAAAACATGATGACTGCTTAATGTTAGACCGCTATGACCTTAATTAAAACCACCTAACCTTTAGCTCTGCTCACAGCGTTGTGGTTACTAACTTTGTTGCATAGTATTTACTTGAGCAGTAGCATTAAGCATTAAGTAGAGCTTTATTTTACAGTAGGGATAGCAGTGCAATCACACAAAATTGAAACAACTTCCTACTAGGCTTTTTCGCTATCTCCCATGCAGTGTAAATTGAAATAGCTCCAGGGTTTGTCTCAACGTTCTTAAAAAGACTGAAGTGTCTTAACATCAGAAGAGTTCTTTGCATTATTTGATGTGTTAGCATTTTTTGTTTTGACTTTGTGTTTTAGTATTGTCAGTTTGCTAAATCGCCAGTCATGGTCTATAATGAGCATCCTCACTGTCTTGGTAACACATTTGATTTGCACAGTAGCTGATTATTAATCTCAAAGATTGTTCTCTCCCCCTTCACAGTAACAGCTGCCCTAAAAAGTCAGTGGTGGAGAAAGTACTATAGGAAATAGCATTAGTAGTTGTTTTCAGCACTAGTGGTGGTTGCTGTGCGAGTTTTGTCTGCTGGCTAGTTTGCAACCTAACAAATAGAAAAATATTTGTGTAGGTTTGTTGATCCTACAACTTGGAAGCAGCTACTAGTGCTTTGCTGTAGAGAAAGGATGAAGATGGCCTGGGGTTTAAGGAAATAAACCCTTCTTTGCACACAAACATGGGTTCCATTGGTTGTTTGTTTGAGATCTGTTGAGCTATTAATTCACACGATTGCCAAGTAGTTAGATTTTAACTCAGAAATGGCTCTCAACTGTCTCTACAGCCCACCAGGCTTAACACATATACTTTAAGTAACTTCAAATACATTTAACATTGTCTTTTGCAGATTGACACTGTACTGTTATATGTAGTAGTGTACCTTGTTAGGATGAGGAAGACGGGGTGGCTGCAAACAGTATTGTATTCACAAGCTAACTAGCATTTGCATGTTTTTACTCTTGCATGTTTGCTCTTCCTTGTTTTGTATTTATGTGGGGTTATCAATTATTGCTATGCACAGCTAATCACTTAGAGTTGGTGATATAAGAAGGAATAGAGTGGTCTGCTCTTATAGTATTTCATGTGTAACATCTGAGTGCACAGCTGATCACAGAAACAAAGTGCAACATGCAGGTTACTACAACCTGGCAAATTGAGTAGGGAATGCTTCTCCCCAGTGGTGTCTGTATATTCTTCATCTTGCAGCTGTCTGATTATCTTTTTGTCTACTTTAACTGTGCAGCTCTCTCCCAACAAATAACGTAGCAGTAGATATGGCAGTGCTTTCAATTTATAACCATAAAGTCCTTATTGTGTTCAATAATCTAATGTAAAACCACTTAAAACTGTGTTTTATCTTTATGCTTCTAGTATGATGTCTCAGAATTGACAGGTTGACTGTTCTCTGTGGTAAAAAGGGAGGTGTGGCGTGCTTTTCACATGTTGCCGGTTGTCAGGCTCTGAAAGCTAATCTAGGCTGGCTGTCCAAATATCATGAGAGGAAAAGCTTGTAATGAACATTTTACAGTACGTGCAAAGTATGCCCATAACAGAAAGATGTGTTAATGGTATTGCATAATTTTAATAAATGACCCATAGTGTTAGTTCTTGCCCCTTTTGTCACTGAGCCATTTGGGCTGTTGTGATTCATCTGTGTGGTCACCACCACCTTAACTGTTCCCTCTTTGTAGCAAGGTTGAGTAAAGCTGACCTTGCTGAGTGAACCATTGGCGGTTGCTGCCTAACTATTGAATAAGCTCAAGGTTCCCCAATCCTGAGGTCTTTCTAATAAGACCTCAGGATTAAGTTTTGTCTTTTAAACTAAAGATGCTTCCGCCTCCAAGAAATAGTAACAGCAATAAAAAGTAATGGCAGTTATGAATAAGAAGAAATAAGTTATTTTGATTGTAGAGTGTGCTGTTGTACTGCAGCTACACGAATGATGAACTGTAAGTTAATCAGCTCTCAGAGGCTGGATTTACCTTCTTTAATGTGTACACATTTGATTATAAGCACAGCAAGACGTAGGGAGTGATTGATGATTTATGGAGCCCAACACACTAGGTCCATTCAGCTCAGGTAATTTAAATGGTGTTAAGACAGACAGTAGATCTCTGGCTTTATTAAAGTGTGGCCTTGCCTGACCACCCTCCCCATTCCTCTTTGATCACAGTGAATTCTTAGATTCTCTATAAACCACCTCCTTATGCAACAAAGGAGCCCTCATTCCCTCTAGGCCTATGTATATTTTCCTCAGTAGACTGGCATAGTTTCAAAGAATTTAATTTGATCTCGTCAGCGATTCTTATGAAAACATGAGGAGTATTTCCTTTTGGAAATTGCAACCTCTACAGTATACAGGTTTAAAAGAAGGGAAGGGGGCAACCAGTTATGTTTTAGGCCTTGTTCACACTGCCATTCCAAACCAGTTTTTTGACATATCCAGATTAGTTTTAGGGTCTGGTAGCAAAAAAACTCATGAAATGCGATTTCTACAAATCGGATCCAAGCCACATTTGGAGGTGGTTTGAAATGCAATTCCAGTCTGGTTTCTACAGATTGTCTCAGTCTGGACGCTCTGGACGCTCAAAACCGATTTTACAGTGTCATTTGCGTCACTCGCAATGCGACACACAACTACAGCGTCAAATCCAGACTGACAGAAATATGTAAGAGGCTGAGCAGAATCAGACTCTCTTAAAGACTGATTTGAGAAACAAATCTGATTTGCTTGCAAACTGGACATAGCAGGCACATAATAATAAGGCAAATGCTTATGACACGGTTTCATGTATAAGTGCATCACAGAGCCACAAGTTGTGTTTGGTGTTCTGCTGCCTATGGTGTCACATGTTAGTGCCACTGAAAATCATAGGGGGTCAGCAAACTAGTAGAAAGCATCTAAAATGCTCTTTCAAAGTATTCCTCGGATGCTTAGCATGACAGCAATCCAACCAGAAGAATTACTCACTTAACTACAAAATAAATATGAAAATACAATATTAAGGCAGCCTCTTAAGGCAACACCTTTTCTTTGGTGTAGCAGACTGTGACTTCTAATTGCCTGTGAATGCTAGTCAGTAAAGGACTTTATAGCTTTTATAAAGTACTTATTAGTGCAGTCTCACATGTAGAATTACATTGTTCATGACAACAGTTGCGTATCAAAGCAATGCCCTCCACTAGTTTATCACATCATCACTTAGGGTCTCTGCTCTGTCCAAATGCCTTTTTATGTTTCTGTCTACCAACATGGATTTGCTCAACAAGTAATTACCATCATTGCTGTAGCAGCTTAATTATGTACTGCTTACTGCCAGATGAAAGGCTTCGTGAGAATGGAGACAAAATGTACCTCTTTCTAGGTAGGGTAGTCACCGTTAATAACTTTCCATTTGGATGAGAATTGAAAATTAGATGTTGTACCAAACGCATGAGAACATGCATGTCAACATTTCCATTCAAAGGTAACGAATTCTAAACTTTATAAATTCATTTTCCCAGATTTTGTTGTTGTTTAGTAAGAAAGCTCTTAGAAACGGACAGATGTTTCATATTACAATCTTTTTTTGTATCTGCTTGCATATTAATCGGCTTCGTTTTCATAGATAAAACACCTTTCCCTGCTCCAATAAAGAGTTTCTCTTAAATTCTGTTAGAAACAAGTTTCTTTAATATTACTTAGCTTTGAGTCATGCCATCACCTTGCCTGTGTTGCTTGTTTTATAGTGATGGTGGCTCTTTAAAAAAAAAAAAAAAAAAAAAAAAAAAATATATATATATATATATATATATATATATATATATATAAATAAATGTTTTTTTGTGTGTTCTTACATATAAACACAAGATAATTCAACTAAGCATGTACTTATAAATATTTAAACATCTTCTTGTGGCTTAAAACTTGTGTGTTCTGAGAAGCTTCTCCGTGAGGGAATGAAATTTCACCTGCCATTCTCCTTTCCCTCTGCACTTTTAATACTATTTTAAAAAATGCAGCACTTCATGAAATGCACATCTATTTGCCCCCTTAAGCCAAATAGCCATCATATTCTTTGCTAATGGAGTTGGATTTTCTCCCCCAGCTTCACATGCACTTTAGAAACCAGGTTACTGGTTAAGGATAGAAGAGAATCTGTTTACATGCATTGCACTGATTTTACTTAACTGTAAGACTTACATTTAAGTGAAACTGGCCAGCAATACAATTTCTTTCCTACCTACTACTGTTCTTGAACCAAGGCTGACATATTTTAGGCATGTAAGTAATATAAAATGCTGCAGTGCGAAGAGATTGATTTACTTTTCTTCAAATGTTCTTCATTAGAAGAATTGTTTTGGTGTGGACTAGTGCAGTGCCAAAGCTATGGCAGTGGGTGCCAACCTGTTTCTTTTCTTCACGTTTTTAAGAGAATGCCAGCTCCGATCAGACTGCGGGAGCTGATCCGGACTATCCGGACAGCACGGACCCAGGCAGAGGAGCGTGAGATGATCCAGAAAGAGTGTGCTGCTATCCGCTCGTCCTTTAGAGAGGAAGACAATACATACCGTTGCAGAAATGTGGCAAAGCTTCTTTATATGCACATGTTGGGCTACCCGGCACACTTTGGGCAGGTATGTTTGGTGATGGTGGGAGAATGGGCAAAATTATGTCATTGTTAGAAAGCTCTTTGCGGCATGTCACTCACTCACATACATTACCCATCTCTTTTAAGCTGTTGTTATCAAATAAAGGCCAAAAGCTTATACCCTTGGACGGTTTTGTGACATACTGACTTGTTTTCCAGCTGGAGTGCCTGAAGCTGATTGCCTCCCAGAAGTTCACTGACAAACGAATAGGTTATTTGGGAGCAATGCTGCTGTTGGACGAGAGGCAGGACGTTCACCTACTAATGACAAATTGCATTAAGAAGTAAGTGGAGTCAAGATCCTCAGTAAATGTCTACAGGTGCTGGTCATATAATTAGAATATCATCAAAAAGTTGATTTATTTCAGTAATTCCATTCAAAAAGTGAAACTTGGATATTATATTCATTACACACAGACTGATATCTTTCAAATGTTTATTTCATTTAATTGTGATGATTAAAACTGACAACCAATGAAAATCCCAAATTCGGGATCTCCGAAAATTAGAATATTACTTACAACCAATACAAAAAAAGGATTTTTAGAAATGTTGGCCAACTGAAAAGTATGAACCTGAAAAGTATGAGCGTGTACAGCACTCAATACTTAGTTGGGTCTCCTTTTGCCTGAATTACTGCAGCAATGCGGCGTGGCATGGAGTCGATCAGTCTGTGGCACTGCTCAGGTGTTATGAGAGCCCAGGTTGCTCTGATAGTGGCCTTCAGCTCTTCTGCATTATTGGGTCTGGCGTATCGCATCTTCCTCTTCACAATACCCCATAGTTTTCTATAGGGTTAAGGTCAGGCGAGTTTGCTGGTCAATTAAGAACAGGGATACCATGATCCTTAAACCAGGTACTGGTGCCAAGTCCTGCTGGAAAATGAAATCTGCATCTCCATAAAGCTGGTCAGCAGCAGGAAGCATGAAGTGCTCTAAAACTTCCTGGTAGACGGCTGTGTTGACCTTGGACCTCAGAAAACACAGTGGACCAGCACCAGCAGATGACATGGCACCCCAAACCATCACTGACTGTGGAAACTTTACACTGGACTTCAAGCAACGTGGATTCTGTGCCTCTCCTCTCTTCCTCCAGACTCTGGGACCTTGATTTCCAAAGGAAGTTTCAGAGACCATAACTTTGGACCACTCAGCAGCAGTCCAGTCCTTTTTGTCTTTAGCCCAGGCGAGACGCTTCCGGCGCTGTGTCTTGTTCAAGAGTGGCTTGACACAACGAATGCGACAGCTGAAACCCATGTCTTGCATACGTCTGTGCGTGGTGGTTCTTGAAGCACTGACTCTAGCTGCAGTCCACTCTTTGTGAATCCCCCACATTTTTGAACGGGTTTTGTTTCACAATCCTCTTCAGGGTGCAGTTATCCCTATTGCTTGTACAATATTCTACCACATCTTTTCCTTCCCTTCGCCTCTCCATTAATGTGCTTGGACACAGAGCTCTGTGAACAGCCAGCCTCTTTAGCAATGACCTTTTTGTGTCTTGCCCTCCTTGTGCAAGGTGTCAATGGTCGTCTTTTGGACAGCTGTCAAGTCAGCAGTCTTCACCATGATTGTGAAGCCTACAGAACTAGACTGAGAGACCATTTAAAGGCCTTTGCAGGTGTTTTGATTTAATTAGCTGATTAGAGTGTGGCACCAGGTGTCTTCAATATTGAACCTTTTCACAATATTAAAATTTTCTGAGATACTGATTTTGGGGTTTTCATTAGTTGTCAGTTATAATCATCAAAATTAAAAGGAATGAACACTTGAAATATATCAGTCTGTGTGGAATGAATGTATACATTATACAAGTTTAACTTTTTGAATGGAATTACTGAAATAAATCAACTTTTTGATGATATTTTAATTATATGAACAGCACCTGTGTATATACAAGGCCATGGCACTTTGGAACTCCCAAAATCTACGTTACCTGCTGCTGCTCTATCTGTCATTTAAAATCTTTCTTGTATGTGTACTTCTGTGTTTCCACCGCTCATTCAACTCTCTTCTCTCTTCCCAGTGATTTGAATCACAGCACACAATACGTCCAGGGCCTGGCCTTGTGCACTTTGGGCTGCATGGGTTCTTCAGAAATGTGCCGTGATCTGGCTGGGGAGGTAGAGAAGCTGCTCAAAACATCCAACTCCTACTTGAGGAAAAAAGTAAGCCTTATTGTTATGTTTCTATGAATATTTGAAGGATCTGAAAACCTGTTGTTGACTTGAATGAAATTGTTGGTATGTGTGCTGAACAGTTACACTAAACGTGACTCTGAAATAAACAGTGTTAAAGGTTGGACAGTTTCTTAATTGAGTGTCGTATGTGTTGACAGGCGGCGTTGTGTGCAGTTCATGTCATCAGGAAGGTTCCAGAACTGATGGAAATGTTCCTTCCAGCAACAAAAAACCTGCTGAGCGAGAAGAACCATGGTAGGTGCAAGCGATTTGTCAGGATGCAGTTGCTGGCTCATGGGGAAGGGCGCTTGTCCTACACAAATGCAGACTTTGTCCTATTTGCTGCCACTCAGAGCGCTTTGCTGAGAACAGCTGGACAGTTCATGTCCTTTTTGTCATGTCCTTTGCAGAGGAGAGTGGAATTAATGAGTCTGTCATAAACTCTGGGGCTTGTGTGTCCCCTATATAGGGGAGATCAGAGGAAAATATATTTTTTTTTTACAGCGGTACTGAAATAACTTGATCTTTTTTGACATTGTGCGGCAATGCAATAGTGATACTTTAGATGTGACAATTTCAAAATGCATGTATTTGATATTTTTATAGGTCATTATTGTCTGTCCTAGTGTTAATTTTGTCTGCCATTTTAAAATTTAGTCTAAGTCCTGTGTCAAATGTCCTTTTTTTCATATTTAGTCCACTGTTTGTATTTTTTTAAAAATCAAGTTTTAGTTGTCTAAAAGTCTGTGTGTTTTAGTCTGATTTTAGTTTAGCTCATTGTTTTGTAAAATTTTACCGTTAGCTTTGTTCTCATTTTTATTCCAAAGAACATGACATTAACTTCAACCTCAATTCCTGCTGGTTAGCCTTGATATGCCGCTTTCAAGTTAGTAGTGTTTTTTCCAAAATCTTATAACCACATTGCTTGCCGTCCTGTTCAATTGAAAATTTAGAGGGAGAAAATATGGCCTGTAATATTTTGTCTCCTCATTATACTGGAAAAAAAGAAATTATTTTATTTTATGAATTACATTTTAGTCTCGTCATTTTTTGTCAACAATATTGCATGTTAATATAGTTACAGTCAATTGTCGCCGTCTCGTCATCGTCTCGTTTTAGTCATGGGGGGAAAAAAGGTCATTGACGAATATGTTTTGTTTAGTTTTGTCTGACGAAAGTAACACTAGTCTGTCCTGCAACGTACATGATTAAATGATGTATAACTGGAAGATTGTGTGACATGGCCATATGCACCAAGCATAGTCAGGAATTTCAAGTGTGAAGTTGCAGAGGCAAACATATAATCAAACATCTAATTAAATGTTGGATATGAATGTTATAATTATATGTATAGTAAATAACTAGGCCATGTACCCTACTGTTGTATAACATACATTCACTTTATACAACCAACTAACCTACCAATGATGTGAGCGAGATCTCTCTCAAAAATAAACTACAGAATTGATTACCTTGAAAATGTCAGAAAGCCACTACAAATTTTAAACATGTTCAATTATGATATGTTGTGTGGCTTCAGAGCTCACCACCAGTGCTTTCTGCGGCTGTCACTCAGATGGAGTTTTCAACCTTGTAATATTCAGGTCACTAGGAAATGATTAGCCTGTGTGCTAATCTTACAGATTTATGATGCTGCCAGCGGTGTGCTCTGTGGTTAATATGTATGCTAGTATATCATATTTTTTGGAATGAGTCTCTGTGTAATTGGTCAGTCTGGACATTAGGAGTGTGCAATATTGACAAAAAATGATATCTTGATGATATTTTCTGGGATTTTGTTGATAAAGATAATTAGACGATATGTAGTATTACTGACATCAAACAGTGGAAGTATGAGTAAACAACCTCATCTGTCGCTATATTTCTCAGTTCTGTCTGTAGCTGTTATCTTGGTGGCTTTGAGTCTGAAATCATAATTGTTGCGCTGTTTTTTTGCCGGTACCTTGGCTGGTTTAGGAGTGTCGTGGACAGTTGACTCCCGAAGCTTTTCATATTCTTGATATTCTGTGCGGTGGTTAGTTCGTGGTCCCTAATGTCAACCGATATTTGATTTGCAGATTGACGTCTTTTTAGTAACACCTGTGTTTCAAAGCCAGACCACCTCCATGTGAGTGAGGCTGATCCACAACTTTTCAGTGCTGTAAAATCAGTGTTTTGGCATGTGGTTCAAACTCATGGATGGATGACCTTGACAAATAGGTTTTTGGCTATAACTCAAGATCTGATGCCGTAATTATGACAATTTCTGAAGTGATGACATTTTTAACCCCAAAGGTCACTTTTACTGTGACGACATAATGTCCTGACTGTGATTCAGGAGCAGAAGGGGAGACTGTGACCATATTTCACAGTTGGTCGGACACTGAATAGGTAACTGACCTAAATATCAATGGTCAGTGGGACCTCAAAATAGGTTTTTAGTCAGAATTTAAGAATGAATTGGACGATTCCAGATTTCACATGTTGACTGGGCACAATGAGTAAACAGTAGCTACACTATGGGCTTTCCTCCATTCTGCCCTTCACTTCCTGCCTCATTCTGAATTTCGAGCACCATCGGAATGCACGTGACAGCGAACAACGTATTGGAGCTCGCCTAGCTAATTGTGAGTGAGCTTCACATACAGCTCATAGAGAGGATTTGCATCTAAAAATGTCAGGAGAAAACAAAAGCACCACATGTTGTGTAGCTATACTCTATAAGAATCCATCTTTACATAGTAATCAAGTACATTTGTACCTGTTTAGCCAATACATTTATGATAATCCTTCATGAATCAGTTCAATGATATATAAATTCACTGGAATCATACAAATGTGTTATCAATTTAGTGATTGCTTCCATTTAGCCAAAAAAATACCCTTTATACCTATTTATGCAATTCTCTCCAAGTATTCACTATATAAATATATTCTGGAGTCTGGACAGACATGGTTGTAAACTGCAACTTGACTGGTTGGCAGAGGCATACAACCGCAAGGCGCTAAATCTAGTTTCTTGTATCACTGTTACCTAAAATAATGGCACCCATGAACGAAGTCCCTAGGTCCGAACGTCCAGTAACAAACGGCTAATGTAGAGGAAAAAGCACTACACAAACTGGTCAGAATATTTATTCCTAACAATAACCTTTGCAATGTCTGTTCCCCCAGGTGTTCTCCATACATCAGTGGTCCTCCTCACTGAGATGTGTGAAAGAAGTCCTGACATGCTGGCCCATTTCAGAAAGGTACAAACAGATTCCCTGACCTTAAAGTAATTACAGGCATTTGTCTTAAGCTCACGTCATATTTCATTCTCCTTTTGTGTATTTCTTTTTGGTATAGCTAAGCAGTGTTTCCCATTAATTAACGAGAATCATAGTCTAATTTGCTCTGCAATAGTTTCAAAACGAACTGAAAATATTTTTACACATCTCATAATAACATCTCAGACCTCTAACGTTTTGTTTTGCGCTCACACACTTTGGCATCTGACTCGAGACAACCACTTTTCTTTTGAGGCAACTACGGTAACATTAATGGTCTGTTTCTGTCAGTCGTTTGTGTGAAGGTGATTAAGCCAGCCGCGCCTACATTTAGAGTGCACACACATTAAAGCCTTTATGATAAATCCACTGTAATGGACCAGTGTGAGCTGTCGGATTTCATGACTTTAGCGTGAGGATACACATGTGACAATTCCCGGTTTTCAAAATAAGGTATCTAAGGAAATAAGATTAATTGGATTATATTCACAGAAAGTGAAACATATGTATACATTAAAAGTAAAAAAACCCAACAACAATAAAATGTTAGGGCAATTACTTATTGTATTTTCTATTCTTTGATTTAGGGTTTTTGGAAAAACATTAAATAAATTTGTTGACTTTTGTTGCTGTTTTATCACAATTTATAGCTATACAATTGGTTTATGATTAAATAGTTTATTAGAGCACAACAGTGTTTACAAGCGTACAAAGTTCTTCATACATAGCCTCTTAATTTTGCACCAAATTAATGCATTTAACTTTAAGATTTCCAAAATTTCTTCCGGGTTGGGCCTGAGAGGGTCCGAGGCCCACCCGCTATAGTCTCTTAAAATCCTGTGGGAAACCCTGAGCTAAGCTTGGCAAACTTTGTTAAACTTTTGGGCCGTGGATTGCGCTACAGGTTTGCTCTACACTCAAGTATGTCTCAATCTTTGATTTCCTACCGCTGTCTTTTCCTCTTGTATTTCAACTGCTGCTGTACCTCTCCTCCTTTAGGTACCAGAAGCACCACCCCTCATGCTCATGATCGAAACATTATTTTAAGCTCTCTGAAAGTGAATGATTTCCAGTTTCCCCTCCCTAACATCTACCTCATATTTTTTCTGTCATTTGTCTTTGTTACAATTCCTGCATTGTGTTAGAATGAGAAGGTAAGAGGACATTCTGATCTCATAGCTGGTGCATGCTGTAAATAGTAATCACTCCTCACAGTCACCTCAGACGTAATCAAATTTGTGTTGAGTAATATCATGTTGTGCTTTAATTTATAATTTAATTATTTTTTTTTTAAACGTGTACGGTGATCATTACTATGTCAGTGTTTTGAATATTTACAATAGAATATTTGGTCCATTTGTCAGATACATTTCTCACTATTGTTTTGAGTGTCATTATTTACCTAATATGCAACTCATTTGATCACTGTATTTAAAATCAGTTGGGTGGATGTGTTTTCACATGATTGCCACAGGTGTTGTCACCAGGAACAGACGATTTCCACTGTATCTGTGTCACTGTTAGAGAGTAGTTTATTTGCTATGTCACCAACTGTCTTAGGTCTGTATTATTGTGCAGTGGTGGTTTTTATGTATTAAGCAAGAGTTAAGAGTGTGGCAAATGTAATGTTTGAATGTCATGTTAAGGAGTTCAAAGTTTAGATTTATTTTTAATATCCCACTCCATACCAGAGGAGAAGACTGAATTTCACCTCTTCGCATCCTCTAAAGTCATCTGGTCTGGAGTGTGTTAAGTCTGGCAAAACAGAAAGACTGGAAGTAGGCCAAAACATAACTAAAAGTGAAAAAAAGTAGGCCTTCTAAAAACTCCAAACCTGTTCTATTTACATGTTGTGTCTCGTTAGTGAGTAAGCAGTCAGCATTACATTGAAGATTTCTCATCTAGTGTTAGGCTAAACACATCCCAGACTGATCACTATACACGGTGCAAATAGATGAAAATAATGCCCAATATTCTAATTTAATGCAGGATATAATGGCAAACTGTTTCCCAAAATGTTGGAGTATTGCATTAAGGTTACAGTTCTTCTAGAAGGCATTAAGTGATCAAAATTAAATACATAACAGTATTAATCATTGTGATGAGAAGTTTTAATTTTTAATATAACTCCATTTTGCACCTAATTTAACTGTAGTTTAAAAATTTGCCACATTCAGAAGTGTATGCAGATTTTGTTTTAACTCAAAGCCAAATGTTCTAACCTCCATATTTTTGTACAATCAAGGTTTTGATTTCACAACCGCAAAAATCTGACTGTTCAATCACTTTCAACCACATTACTCTACCTCAAACTATAATTCTTGATATGAGTTTGGCTGTCTGCCACTGTCAATGACAAATTATTAGCTTTAAAAGTTAATGAACAATATTATAGAAATGTTGAAGAGCAAGAGTAGAACATTTGAGAGATCTATACAAAATATTATGATACCTCTCCTCCTCTGTTCTGTTGTTTGTCTTTTTGTAGCTGGTTCCACAGTTGGTGAGAATCCTGAAGAACCTAATCATGTCTGGATACTCTCCTGAGCATGATGTGTCGGGCATAAGCGATCCTTTCCTGCAGGTAAATCTCTCTTTCATGATGCAAGTAACTTCTGCTGTAAGTAGACATCGTTGATATCGACTTGGCTTCATGCTTGTGCTGTGATCAGAACTTCATGTCCTACTCTTGGTGTAGATACATTTTTATAAAACAGGGAATTAAAAGTCAGAATTACAAATGGTTGAAGCACATAATGTCACACCTACAGCTGACACAGGCTGTGCCAGAACAGCATCAAGGAAGGAGTTGGACAAGAGAACCCAGTATTTACCAATGGGGGGAGGGGTCAATAAAGTATTCCACACTTGTCAAGTGAACTGACTGGACTGGACCTTTTTTTTTTTTTTTTTTTTCTTAGGTGCGGATATTGAGACTACTGCGAATTTTAGGCAAGAGTGATGATGACTCCAGTGAAGCAATGAATGACATTCTTGCACAGGTTAGAATTAAATGTAATCATTACTTATGGCCTAAAGCTTCTTAGAGTGAGTGTTGTTTTGACAAATGTGTGGTATTTGTGCCTACAGGTTGCAACAAACACAGAGACAAGTAAAAACGTAGGCAATGCAATTCTCTACGAGACTGTACTGACTATAATGGACATCAAGTCTGAAAGTGGACTGAGGGTGAGTGAATTTAGTAGGAAGGAAAGGTTGCGATGAACATTTAAAAATATATATATATATATATATATATTTTATATCTTGCATTAATGCCTTTTATCTTACAGGTCTTGGCCATTAACATACTAGGGCGCTTCCTTCTAAACAACGACAAAAATATAAGGTAGTTAATTAAATGACACTACTTGACCTTGCACGCGTTGACTCATCCAAATGTTGCTAATAATTTCTGATGATATCTTTTAAATAAATCCACCATTCCAGATACGTGGCATTGACATCTCTACTAAAGACGGTACAGACAGACCACAATGCAGTGCAGAGGCATCGGAGCACCATTGTGGATTGTTTAAAAGACCTGGATGTGTCCATCAAGAGGTGATTCACAGTGCTTAAAGTGCACACATTACTTTAACTACAATTGTACATTTCTTACTATTTTTCCTTATTGTGTCTGACGTTTGTCTGCTTTTCATTGTTATGTAGACGTGCAATGGAACTGAGCTTCGCCCTGGTAAACGGCAACAACATTAGAGGCATGATGAAAGAGCTGCTCTACTTCCTGGACTCCTGTGACCCTGAATTCAAAGCAGACTGTGCATCAGGAGTCTTTCTAGCTGCAGAGAAGTAAGGCACCCAACACATAGACTTCACTGCACATTACAACTGTGCTCAGCTATGTTGTAGTACTTTGATACACATCCCGTGTGACCTTGATTTTGGTAGCTTTTCACTGTCATTTATTTATTTTTTTATTCAAACAGAGACATCTAGGTTAATAGAATCTGTTGGAAATAACTTTATCTGCATCTTATGAATTAGATACATGTAGACTAGTGGTTTATTTTAATTATAGATATCCATCCAAGTAATACAGTGACTATTTTGGTCATGGGTTTCATATACTTTTTTTGATAGCTTGTCAATTTTACCCTTTATATCTATATATTATGTTTATAGTTATGCACCAAGGCACCAAACCAAATTCCTTGAATGTGTAAACCTAATTGGCTAAAAAGCTGATTATAACTCTAAAAGCAAAATTTCTATCAGATGTCAGTTTTGGGGTCCTTGAGAACCACTGATGTAGACTAAATGTTAGTTATGCCTGTGAAGAGGGATACAATCATAATATTGTGTTACAGAATACATATACAACATACTCATGCATCATGACATGCATCAAGTTAAAAGTTTGTTTGAGGTACCATGGAGTACAGGGGGTGGCTAACACTGAAATGCTGTATGATGATAAAATGAGTGATCCATCGTCTGACAGACTATGTTGATACCATATATTTTCTGACAGCATTTCTCACCTCTCTGTATAGAGTTGAGAAAACTTATCTTCTTCCGTGCTTTGCTGGGACTAATCAATGGTATGGTATTCTTTGTGCGACAGGTATGCTCCTTCGAAAAGATGGCACATAGACACCATTATGAGAGTCCTGACAACAGTATGTATATAAAATAAAACACTCCAGTGGTTCTTATGCTGTTGATTGGATGTGAGTTTCAGAGTATTTCTTAAGAATACATGTGTTACCTTGAGTATCTAATCAAATCTAGTAAAAGACCTCCTCAGCCAACACTACAAATATTTAAGGTTTATTTGCATTAATTATTGACATCTCTGCTCATCCTTCCAGGCAGGGAGCTATGTGCGAGATGATTCTGTTCCCAACCTCATCCAGCTCATCACCAACAGTGTGGAGATGCATGCCTACACAGTACAGAGACTCTACAAAGCACTGCTGGATGACATCTCACAGGTCAGAGCAGTCCTAGTTTGGGTCATGATTAGATTTGGGACATCTCCACATTTTTGAAGTTAATAGTCTTAGATTTGATTATGTAATTAACTGTTTGTATTTCAAACTAGCTTAAGCATCAGAGTGAACTTATGTTTTGCTGTGTTCTGTAGCAACCTCTAGTGCAGGTGGCGTCGTGGTGCATAGGAGAGTATGGGGACTTGCTGGTGTCTGGACAGTGTGAGGAGGAGGAGCCTATCCAGGTACACCTTTATGAATCCCAACCAAACGTACAAACACACTAATTTAAAGACAGCACAAAACTAAGAGAAACACTAGGTCATCAGATGTTTTTCTTCTCTTCCTTTTAAATTAAGGTGAGTGAGGATGAAGTCCTGGATGTGCTGGAAGGCCTCCTGGTGTCCAACCTGTCCACACCTGTGACCCGGGGTTATTCCCTTACTGCCATCATGAAGCTTTCTACTCGCTTCAGCAGTGTTAAGTGAGTAATGTCCTTTTACACCTATTCTGTACATTGAAGCTTTACAAATATTTGTGTGCAAAGGTGGTAAAGTTAATTATTGATAACCAATGCTACTTTCCTAACCACTAACATTTAAAATTTTGTTGAAGCCGAATCAAGAAGGTGGTTTCGATATATGGCAGTAGCATTGATGTGGAGCTTCAACAGAGAGCCGTGGAGTACAATGCGCTTTTCAAGAAGTATGACCACATGAGGTAAAACTGCATTACTGTTTCTGTACCAGAAATTACTACCATATCGTTACATTCACATTGTACCAGTTAATTAGATAAGGAAAATCCTCCAGTGCTTAAGTTTGGTCTATCTTTTGTCTCTCTCTATATTCCTTCCTCGTTTCCTGACTATAGGCCGGCTCTCCTAGAACGAATGCCCATCATGGAGAAGAGCTCTACTAATGGCCCCACAGAGATTGTACAGACAAATGGGGAGACAGAGCCCTCTGTTGTGGAACCAAAACATCTACCGCCTGTCACCCAGCCAGCCAACCAGGTGAGAGCAGTTTCGATTACTTTATGATGACGTATGAAGAACATACAGTTTTTGAGTAGCAAGATAAACATTTAACGGAATACTTTTTCACACAATGAGATCAAATATTTTTGTGATATTATTATTATTATTATTAATAAATGTGTTGTACACATAGATATTGCAGGTATTTTATCATGTTTGCATGTTTTCTTGTCTGCCAGGCTAATGATTTATTAGACCTGCTGGGAGGTAATGATGTGGTGCCAGTAATCCAGACCACGATGCCCACAAAGCCTGCCTCAGCTGGAGGAGAGCTGCTTGATCTGCTGGGTGACCTCTCGCTAAGTGGTAGGATGCTCTGTGTAAAGCTCTCTATATCCCTTTTAGAGCAGAGCAACAATCTGGTATTAACCCATGTTTACCACCAGTGTGAATGTGATGTGTCCAACCTGTGCCTGCTCCTGTTCCACAGTAACATACTCTGGTTTTGGTATAAAAGAGTGAATAGAAACCCTGGTGTGTCACTGTCCCCTCTTTCCAGGCGGTCCAGCCCCTGCTCCCGCTCCCTCTGTGCCCACTTCCCAACCCTCTTTCCTTCTGGATGGCCTCTCCTCACAGCCCCTATTTAATGACATTGCAGCTGCAGGTGAGAGTCTATGGCTCCCCTTAATGAGCCACCCCCAAATATATTGTAGTCGGTGGTATAGTCCTGATGCATTAAAGCACTTGGTCATTGTGTTTTGCTTTTCTTGGATTACCATGACACATACAATGAAATGTTAGTATTATATCTCTAAATCTTTCAATGGTCTGCTCCTCTGAAATCTCTGTATAGCTATTCCCCCTATGACGGCATACAACAAGAATGGTCTGAAAATAGACTTCACATTTGAGAGAGCAAATCCCAATCCAAACATCGCGGTCATCACCATCCATGCCTCAAACTCAACAGAGGCCGATATGACAGACTTTGTTTTTCAGGCTGCAGTACCAAAGGTAAGCAGGCACAATCTCATGCTGATATTAAGTAGCTGAATTGCAATATGCTGTAATGAATAATGGTGTTCCTTACTGATGAGTCTTTTTGTTAATTGACTAATAACTTACGTTACAAGTCGTGGTGGATATTTTCTGGACGATGGCATCGTCTATCGGCCCAACCTGTATTACTGGAAGATGTTGCTGACCACAAGTCTGCTCAGCCTTTTGAGAGTAACATCTGTTTAATGCCACACAGTCTGTTGTTTCTGTAGTCTAAAATTTTCAGATTGTGTTGGCTTATTCAGGATGAAGGAAATTATAAAAAATTCAAAAACTTCTCTAAGCATGTTATGAAGGAACTAGCTTTGAATATCTAGTTAACTTTCAGCATGCTATTACAGGCCTCCAGTATTCACCAGGCAGCCCAAATATAGTGCTTGCCTCACTGCATTAAGTCTCACCGTTGTCTGTGTTTGATTAGACAGAAAGATGAGCCATAGACATGTCATAGAAATATGACGGCCATGATGGATGAGGCAGCAAAAACACTGTTTGAGTGATGTTTATTTGCTGTTTCACAATTACATTATCTGATCGATACATCTAAAAAGTGCATCTGAGTCATTTGAACTGAAGATCCATCAGTTGTGGTCAGTGCCCGGTCAATGTGAGCACCCTTATTTTATACTCCTGTGATGACCTCTTTTCTCTATGGGTATCATAAAATTTTCCTCTTACATGGTGCCCCCTATCTGTTTGTCAGACATTCCAGCTGCAGCTCCTCTCCCCTAGCAGTAATGTTGTCCCAGCGCTCAACCAGGGAACTGTCACACAGGTCATCAGAGTCCTCAACCCACAGAAGGTGAGTTTTTCCTTCTCAAATTTTGTTTGATCAATCTTTTTTTTTTCACATTTGAAGCACACTTAGCACACATTGAAGACCTTTGCAGTCTTAAATTATTTGCAAGATTTGCTTTTATAAACATGATCATCCTCACAAAAATTTCAGCAACAGCTACGAATGAGGATCAAGCTGACGTACACCCTCAAAGGCTCGCCTGTGCAAGACCTGGCTGAGGTTAATAACTTCCCCCCTCAGTCTTGGCAGTGATGGGCTGCTTCTGTTGCTCTTAAAAGCCCCACCAAGGGAACTATGAAAACGATTTTCCTTTCACCTCCCTCCTCTCTTCCAACGGATCCCCCTGTGACGTCACCGCAGTCCGCTGCCCTCGAGTCGCATGGGAAGCAGCAGAGCATCTAACACAGGAGAAACACAGAATAATTGGGAAAAACATATCAATCAATGAACTTTCTCTTTTTCTTTTCTTAATTGGTTTCCATGATTTCTTTGCGTAGTACTATTTTCCCCACATACACCCTCTGCCCAGCGCCATTACCACCCACAAAAGCACATATGCACACCATTCACTGTGGTACATTTTTACCTCACAAGTCACTGTAGAGAAAAAGTGTTTCCCACTATGAGCATTGCAGTAACCATAGTTTTATTTGAATTTATAATTAAGCTAAAATGCAGTTGAAACACATTGCTCCATTGATTTATGATTGGCTTTGCATTCAGATGATTTAATAGCAGCAGCAGAAAAAACTTTCAATGGTCTATTTAAGTGAGGTCATAAACTTCTTGACTCTCCACATCATGAGTGATATAACTTGTCAGAGTTGTATTCGTTTTGAATTACATTAATTTGCTTAATGCATGTTTGAGCATTGTTAGGTTCACAATCACAACTTGGCTCAGATTCGGGATTCTCGTACTAGGCCTCGTTATCCTATGTTTCTATAGGAAGTAGTCTACATTTGTGTTGTCACAATTATAAGAATATAAACAAATCCAAGATGGCCGGTTTGATCACCTGTGGTTAGTTTTCAGAGAATGTGCTCAGATTTTCCCTCACAGCTCTCCCAGAATCATCTCACCTGTAGCTTTAGTTTTAGACATGTATAATAAATTCAGTGGTTAATTGCTTTGCATAGTATAGGGAGGTTCATTCATTAGGGTGGATATAAACCATGCCAGAAATCTATCTAGAGAAAAGCTAATTGCATTTGTGTTGGAGATCTGCATTTAAACCTTTCCTGCAACTGTGTCCTCACAGTTGAGCTTGCAATTTAGATACATTTCTGATTTCTTTAACCTGGTTGAACTTAGTCACCATGCACATACATGTAAATGAAGCTTGTTATGAATGTAGTTACATGCACTGAATGCGTTTTTTTTTTTTTTTTTCAAGTCTTTTTCATGGCTGTCTTTTTTGATGGGGAAACTCATCTTATTGGCACTATTTTTGTGAAAGTATGTTTTATTTCTGCAGTAATTTGACTTAATTATTTATGCCTGATATCAAAGTGATGTGCCTTTCTGCCTTAGCTAGATAAAAGCCCCTGAACTATTGAGTGCTGTATGAACTTGGTTTTTAAGTCTGCTTGTGTGCTGATTTTCAGTCTGAGGGAAATGGTCCTGTTGGATTTGACTTGGTATATCACTTAATTTAATAGGTTTTACTTTTTTTACATAATGGGTTATAATCAGTCACCCACTAAATATTGGCCTACCTGGATGTCCACAGCAATTACGTTTTTTTTTACGTCTTAATTTTGACAAAAACATAAATTATAGCTACATGATTGTGATCGTTTCTTTCCCTATACTGTGTGGCAGACTTTCCAATTAAAAATACCTGTTGGATGTTATTGACAACAAGGCCTAAAAACGGCAAATCTCAAAGATTATGGCAGCTAATAGATGTAAACTTTTCCTAAGCTGGCATCAACATTTCAAGTGTTTTTAAAAAGTATAAATGTTTGACGAAAGTGAACCATTAGGAAACCCCTCACCCCCCGTCAATCAATGTTGAAGTGAGTTTGGATCGCTTGGTGAGGTACTGGGACGGGCTGTTCTGTGGTGACTGTTAGGAGTATGATTTCTTGGCTCTCGTCTTCTCCAAATCAGAATTCTGACCATGCTGTCGGGGACAGTAACCTTAATACCTCACAATGTTCTCTCTTTCTGTTAACTTTCAGTGGCAGTAGATTGACACCTTTTTGTTTAGTCATGAATTGCAAGGGGAGCATCTGCATGAGAGAAACTAATGGTAGTTTGTACATCTCAATACTTAACAAGCTTAGCAGCCCTGCGGTGCTGTGTTGAGATCCTCAGATGTTCAGTCAGGCTGTATACTTATTTTCACTGCTTCACTATATTCTAACTTCTGTGACCAAATCAGAGAAACTATTAGCTTTGGAAATATTTTTGAGCTATATGTGTATATGGAGAAAATTATTTCAGTTTTTCTGTTGTTGACAAATGTTGGCTTTTTTCCTGTACATATTGAGGGCTTTTACAATTTTGTCTCTTGTACTACCTTTCATCCTTTTTTTAGACACCATTTTCTAAAAATTCCAATTATTCACAATGTATATTGTCTAAATAGATCTAGTCAACATCAGTCTATAGACTTCCCTGTATCATCACTTATTCATTGTAAAAGAGATGATCTGCTGCCTGTACATTGTATATAGTTGTAAAACAAACAAAAGCTGATCAAATTAAATAAAACCCACATGAAGACTTAAAAGATCAGCTAGGAAGTATAATTGTATGCATATATGTACAAAACAATCTTAAAAGGATGCAATTGAACTGCATTTGATTTACTGTTCTTCATACTTCATTCATGATATTTTACCAAGGTAGTTGGTGAGTCAGTAGGGTACTTGTTGGGGTTTCTTTTGATGTTAAAAACAGGAGTTGAATCTGTCTTAACAGATGTTGTCTGAATGATGTACTGTACTACTGCGAAACCCAAGCACAGTGCTGCACAGCAGCATAAGTGGCACCTTGCTTCATCTGCTTCCCTGCCCCTCAAACACCTCATGCATCCACGCCCTCCTGCGAAGAGGAGCAGGTTTCTTGAAAAGATGTAACTCTTCTTTCTGGCCTTATGTGTGGTTGAGTGCACTCTTGACAAGTCACATCTATTAAACTCCCTTGAACCTAAATATTGATTCGTAAAATGATGCTCCTTGGTCTTGGCGTTGTTCGCTCTAGTGGATGCCTGTTACCTTTTTGTCTGCCATGTAGCACCTTCCTATAAGTGTCATATATATATATAGTGCCCCACTAGGAGGAGTTTTTTTTTTTTCTTTTTTACCTCATTATGGCCAGCAGGTTTAAATTGGAATAGAGTTTTATCTGGACAGATATAAAGCAGTGTCCTTCCCTGGGTCTGAACAGTACAAGGCTTTCTTTTGGCTTCTTTTCGTCCTTTATCACTGATATTATTTGCCCATGCATGGTACACCTTTAAGCTTCTTTCTGTAGTCTCCAACATGAAAGGTTGGGCTGTAACACATGTGAAATTGATCTGAGCCCTCACTGTTTTAAACTTTACATGGCAGTTAATCACTGCAGGATATAAGGGAGGAAGTGGATTTTTATTTCTGTTGGGACCTTTTTAAATTTTGTGTTTATGGAGTGCTACTACCCCAAAACTAATCTGGACAAGTCTGTGTTACAATCTAATAGCCACAAGGGGGAGCTGTGCAAAACGGAAGGCTGATGGGATGGGAAAGGAAGTTTCATACATCTATTCCTGAATGTTTTTGTTGGTGTTGTTTGTATTGTCTTATTCAACCAGTATGTACCCTTGTTAATCACATCTGATCAGTTCTTTAAATGATACCGTAATTCATGCAGTTTTAAATGTACAAATGGAAATAAACCCAACAGAAGTGCTCTGGACACTGTAACTGAAAAGGAAGAAAAGAAACCGAAACAAATACCCATCAGCGTTTGAAGTGGTGTGTGTGTGTGTGTGTGTGTGTGTGTGTGTGAAAGCGAGAGAGAGAGAGAGAGAGAGAGACAGAAAATAATCATGCTTGAGAGAGCGTGATGGTATGTGACATGTCTTTTATCTAGATAGGACATGATTTCTGGCTGCAATTTCAACTTTCAGCTTCTGAGCTGCATGTGAAAACCAGTGTAAATACTGTCATTTCTACTCTTGACCTGAGAATCTTTTTGAAATGCAAGAAAAGTTCAAGTTACAAAATCTATCACACCACCTTCATGGGTCAGTACTAACATGTACAATAGGAAGTTGTTCAGATAGTGCTCACAATACTGTTAATGTTTTTAAGAGTCTGATGAAAGTGCACATCCATCATTTGGATAAATTGGATAATTTACTTTTGTTTTTTATTTGTTAGGGTGAATTCAGTGTGTAAAGGGCTTGGAAGAGCATCTGACTTCACTTTTCCTGTTGAATCAAAAAAGAAATGCATCCATTGTTTTTTGAAAACAAAATCTGTTTGTAACTCCCTGTAAAACGATATGGTAACTGATTTGTTGGGGGGGGGGGGCATGAGGTTCACTTTTCCCAGTCAAGTTTGACATGTTGAACTGAATCCCAGTTTCATGGCTTCAAGGTGAGTGTGAATGTCAGACTGAAAGTATGAAAATGATGATTAAAGATAAGAAGTTGTAAACTATTAAATGGGATATTTTCAATTTATGCTGTGTATTCTTGTCTTGGGTTGGAGAAAATGATCAAGCAAATAAAATGTCAAATAAAAATCTAGTTGAACTATGGTAGTTTGTGTTCTTGGTATGGGAGTGTGGTGTAACAATCTGACCTATTTTAAGGACATGCAATGTGAAGGTTCCTGCTATGAGACAAATAAATGTATCAACTGTGATTTTTGCTTTGAGATTTTGCTATACCATGTCTAGCTTTAAATAAACCATTGTAGACAGTGTTCAAATTAACAGAACGGCTTAGAGGCATTTGGATTGATTTTTGCCTCAATATGATGAATTACCTGGATTTCTTAGGTATTTAACTTGCTGCATTAGCCAGAAATGTTAATTTATTTTATATTTAACAGTTTAATTTTACAGAAAATGTACTACATCTGTATAACAATATATACAGATGTTGCAATTTAAAATGACATACTCCTTTATACAGGATTTTCACCATATTGCCCACCCTTAGCTCAACTAAGTTTGTTATTATATAATAAACTATATCTCCTAATGAACAAATGTGTGAACAGCACGTGATAATCCTTTGTAATACTGTCTTTGTCATTCTATATTGCTCTTTAACATAAAATGTCACTAAATCAGGGACCAAATTCAAAAATGTTAAATGAACAACTAACAGCCATGTAGCTGCTTTTATTTAGATACATTTATTCTGATAAATAAAAATACTGGAAACTTAGGTTTCAGGGTCCTGGTATTGTACATAATTGCTCACTGGGACTCGTGAACAGAACAGAGCCCCAAACCACCTTTTCTATTCCTACTATGAGAAGTCAACATGTCTGCTGTGAAAAAGGCCAGTTACTTACTGAGCTGGGAATTCATTAGATTAATAGAGCAGGTGTGTAGCTGGGAGTTCCTGACACTTAATTCATAATACTTGGATTTTGTGGCCCTTCCCCAGTTAGGACCCCTTGAATAACCTGCACCACCGTTCATAGAACAAATGATGCAGCTGATTCTGAGTATTCAATAAAATTTGTATTAGAGCTGTATAATGAGTATATTTTACAGTGATGAGAACTAAACGCCGGGATATACACAGTATAAGCAACATTATTTAAAATTCTTAAATATATAACTCTGAGGGGTTTGGGGCCACGAGCTTGTACACTTTACCAGGTTGGTATTCCACCCTTGTCCTCTGACATGCTTATTACAGGTCTTCCCCCTGTATTATTTCTAACCTACCTGCATGTCTTCACTAGTTGTTTCTCCCAAACCTTTTACCTATCACATACAACAGGAAAGTGAAAACTACAGTAGCAATAGATAGGGGCCTCATTGTCGGCCAAACTGAAGCAATGCATAACAAAGGTAAGTAATGAAATCAATAAAAGTACCAGCTTGTAACTTGTGAAATTCAGAAGGCTGTAATTATGTTAACTTAGCTAACGTTACAGAATCAATTCTCCTATATTTAATGTTATGTTAACCTTATCAGTATCTTAGTTCAGCATAGATATGTAAATTGTTAGCCTACAATGAAAGGAGTGTGTGAGGGTGTAAAGGAAATGCAAAGCTAAGATAATGAGTTTAAAAGTGAACGTAGCCGATAGCCACACCAGATTCGTTGTCATCTGACGTTAACGCTAGCTAACATTTCATCTTAACGTTCACTAATTAAAGGATAACTTATACAGACACACTTTATTAAGGATTTGAAAGATTCAACATATGGACTTATTAGTGGTTAATAAATAATTTACAAATGCTTTAGATTTAAGTTGTAACGTTAATCCATAAGAAATAGTTAGCTGCTTTCAGGTTGCAAGATTGGGAAGTAGCTCTGTGAGTCAATAAAGTCAAGTCATTAATAAAACATTAGTTTATCACGTCCAATATTAAATAAAGGGTGAAGTTATTCATGCTACTGTCACGTAGCAAAGCATAAACCAAACAATTATGTTGTTCCAAATGGTAATAAGTCATTAATAAAGAGTCACAGCTTTCTGACTTTCACCAATGTTCAGTAAGTAATTTGGAATTATACATATTAATGAGTTGTTAACTTTAATATATCCAGTTTGCAGGTGTAATGAATTGTTAATAAATGGATATTCATTCAAAAAACGTGTCATATGCTGGAGGAGCATATAAACTCCAGTTGAAGAAATGTCCCTTAACCTGGCAACCCAAACGCTGTTCTGATTAACGTATAAATTATCTTTAAAGCAATTATATATAATGTATTAAGCATTGATAACGCCAAGTAACAACTTATGAATCCTATATAGAGGGTGATTTATTATTTATAATAGCACTGAATATTATTGCTAGTGAAGGATTAAAAAACATTACAGTATTATGTAACGTTATAAATACAATCTAACTCACACAAGACAAAAGTTCACAACAGCGTGAGTACTGAAGACACGCCCTACAAAGGCATAGCGTCATTTTTCGTTATGAAAAGCATCAAGTGGTAAAAGACTTGGCTGAAGATTAGTGTTGTACGCCTCTCCTCTCAGAAAGGGGCAGTGGCTGATGAATAATAAATACCCTGGATCCGCCCATTTAATGTTTATTGATCAGCTCTCCAGCAGGCCTATCTGACAACAGTCAGATTCAGTCTGGATATGGCGTCGCTGCATCGACACAGGATGAATGTTCACCTCTTCGTGGGAATTTGCCAGTCGCGTACCGGGACGGCACTTTTTTTTTGTAGCTGTTAAAAGTGGATCATAAATGGCGATGGAAGACGAGGATAACAATACAGCGGTCGTGGCGACTAACACCCAGACGGGCATCAAGAAGGGAGCTGATGTCGGAGATAACGGGGCTTGCATAGACAGGCAGCCGGACACGGTGATCCACCAAGCGGGGCTGAATGAGACTGCAGTTCGCGGCAGCCGCAGTGGTCCGGGAGCTCATGCTGCAACGGGGATCCGAGTGCTAAAGGCAAGTCACAAGGACATGGTTTATTTTCTTGTGATGCAGAAGGTTATTCAAACAGGATACAAAATAATCTCATGTAACATAATCGTTACATGTCTTGTTTTTTTTCTTACATTACAGTAGGCGATTCAACCAGGGCAAAGTGCATGAGAATGAACGCATCATTGTAATATTATGTAATGGCCGGATATCCAGTGATTGGTATTCTCCGATTGATGATTGAGCTGAGGATGATTGCCATTAAGTGAGGAATGTACCAGAGCCAATTAACAGCCTAAAGCCACACACACACACACACACACACACACACACACAAACACACACACACACACACACACACACACACACACAAATAGGAAGACCCACTGCTGAACAGTTCACACACATGATGTGTAATGACATGTAAGTCCCTGAGGTCTCTGCTTGCAAAGCAGTGACAAACACACACACAGAGAATCTCGACAGTGCTATTGAATTAATGTGTATGTATTCAGTTATTGTATTTGAAGGTGCCACCAAAATAATAAAATAAAATAGGTCACCCTGTTATTAAGTGCATAATACCATAAGTAAGATGTTGATTTTTCTTCAGATGTAATTAACACAAGCCTGCAATGTTTCTGCAGATATTGACTGTGAAACCATTCACCTATAATTCACTCACTGTGAGGGGGTAATGCTTCCTAATAATTCCCATGCCTGTTAACATCAACATAAAGTAGATAATCATAGATCGTAGGGTTTTGGTGTTACTTAAATCAGGGGTCACATCCAAAAGCCTAACTGCCAGCCAAAATATGGCAATGTTTGTTGATTTGCTGAAGCACAAGATACGGTTTGTGTTACAGTAACATACTGTATCATCACAAAGTCTACAAGGGACATCCATAGCTAACTGAAAGACTGACCCAGGTCAGCCATCTGTCATTGGCAAATCTGCCCTTTGAGATAGAAAAATACACAAGATATTTGTCTACTCCTCTCTGACTCAGTACAGGTTGACTAAACATGCATGTTCTTATTCAGTGTGGCCCTGCTTCACATTCACACAGTGACACATCTGTAATCGACTGAGTTGACCACTTAGTGATTCTACAGCAGCGAGCAGTGGTTCAGTGCTTCACTCACCTTGACAGTAGCTGATAATGAAAGAGTATGGTAGTTTACTTTCACTCTTTCACCACAGATTTTTCAACAGGTGTGGAGTTGAAACTAACCTCTCTCTGGTTACATTCCAGCCTCCCTAACCTCTGGAATAATGCTGCTCCAGTTATGGTCTATTTAAGGAGTAAAAAACTTTTTTTTAAAAAGTTTTTTCTTGACCTTGGAAATGAAATTAAGTCGAGGTCCACTTACTATCATGACTGAGCAAACTATATTTGTTGATGAAGGCCCTGAGATGGAGGAGGCAATTTTCTAATAAGATAAATTGTGAGGTTGAATTAAGATGTAAGAACTAATTGAACTAAGTTGTTTTTGAAATATTCAGTAACCCATGAAACCTAAACCTAAAATATTCTAAAATAAAAGGCCAAAACATTAGAAAGGTATTTTGAAATTATATTATTACAATGATATAGTTTATATATCAATCTGTAACTAACGTGACAGTGGCAAACCATTAATTTTTTTGGTTGGACATGAAATACTGTAGCTGATGGTGAAAGGATTTCCCAGTTAATTGATTAGATTAAAGAACATTAATTAAAATCTATTTTGATACACAATTAATTATTCAGTCATTTATCAAATAATAATAATACCACACATTTTATTGGTTTAGTGGTTGTTTTTTATTTGTTACACATAAATTGTGTTTTTGATAGGTGGTCAAAACAAAATAATTATTTCATCATAATTTAAAATCATCCCTACGGGCTCTGGGAATTTGTGACCATGATCTAAACAATAACAAAAATAATCATTGTTTCAACACTAACAAGTGTCCATGCAGTCGGTTGATGTGTCAGGACTTTTGTTGTTGTTATAGTTTGGTATAATAAGTTGCTAAATATTGTGAGAAAATTATTTGCATGAGAACAATGTTAGGGTGTTTTGGGATGGTGGTGAAAAATTTAGTTTCAAGCCCTAAATTTGCGACATCTTTTCTAAATGTTTACACGTGTCTCCTAAATGACAGCAA